CAATATCCATTGTGGCCAAATGAAAATGTTTTCCTGCTATGCTGAAGCGAAACATAAACGCCAATATCGACTGCATGCAAATGCGCTACTACAGTTGCGTCTCAAAAACTGCTGTGATTGTAAATGTTTTAATACGAGTTGAGAGAATTGCACCATCCTGAACGTAATTGGGCCAAAACAACTCTGCTTTGTCTGGGCAGCTGACGTTCTTCAGCTGCGAAGGGTAGAGGGTGAGCTCGGATGAAGGCATTCACTCTTTATTTGCAACTGCATCAGACTAGCTTGATAGGCAAATTGATCTAGAGGCTCCCTTTTATGAAATGGTCCCCTGGTGTCATGAGAAGAAACCGTGTTGCAGTTCGCAGGTCAGCGTTCTGACTGATCTGAAAACTTTTCCATTGCGTTAACTTGTAACTTGTTCCTACTTTTCAACTTATCACAGATAGCTGTGGTTTGCGCGGACGATTTGAACAAGCTGTCGAATGTGACTTCGAGTATTTTGGTGTAGTTGGCGGTCGGAATGGTGTCGGATATTTACATATTCATCGCGTAAAAGAAGGCGGTTAACTCGGCGAGATAGGCGTTCAACCTCTTACATATATCCTCAACTATAGGACCCGACGCCTTGATCGTACAATCATCTGCATACGTAACGATCTCGATGCCGTCTGGAGGGCGTGGAATAGCGGAAGGTAGAGATTAAACAGTACCGGTGATATCAATCCACCCCGAGGAACTCACTGCTTCACTTTACGGGGTTTGGACTTCTTATTCCGGAAATCCACATACGACTGGCTTCCAAACACATATATCCAACGTTTCAAACTTGGCCGGAGGGAAGTGTTCTCAATGTCCTCAAACAGTGTGGCATGATTGATGTATCAAAGGCTTTTGATAGGTCAAGTGCTAACAACACTGTTCTATAGCACGGCCGTTTCTGGTTTCGTCTACTACTTATACGTGTGGAAATGGCGAGTAACGCATTGTTAAGGGGTTTTGATTAAAATATCTCAGAGCATAGACAACTTAGTAGCAGACAATTTATAAAGATCTTTTTGAGGACACTCCATATAGTGGAAGCCTGACCAGATGTTTTCATTTGTGTTTCATCAAAGCACCTGCACGACTGACAATTTCTTCATTCCTTTAATAGATTTGTTTTCAACGAGTAATGTCTGTAGGTTCCCGAGAAACAGCACAAACACACCTTTGTGGTTACATTAAATTAATTGCAAATTGAAGAAACAATTGAAAAGTTAAATTGCCCGCAAATCGTTGAAATAGCATTACCCGTACAGAAATTCCTGGACGTACCTTCATTCGCCTGTATTTTGGTGATAATTACAATCACGCAATCAATCATCCAACAAAGAGAAAAAACAGCAATATTTTTTAATGGAAATGCAAAGGAACATAACAAGAACATTTTAAGTAAATTGGAAAATAAATAAGAAAGAATTTGGTGAAAAGATGCAAAGAATTTTTTTCACTACATCATTTTAGGATATGACAACTCCGTTTTAACTCCACCTGGTTGTGGTAGGTGTAATATTAATATATTGGCCCTTTCATCGCTGATTTTTTCAATCAAAATGAAGTGTAGCGAAATAGAGAAAGAACAAATACATATTCTTCAGTTGTTTAATTTCGTAAAACTGCTATCTCATCAAAAATCAGGCAATACATATAAACATAAAAATATCTGCAGCTCGTTCGTACGGATATTCCTATATACGTTGACTAAACTGTAAAAAAGATAAACAATTGTCGACAATTATAATCAGCCGCCACACTTCATTGCCCCCCTTAAAATGTCCAACCAGAATGATTCTACAGTTCATAAATTCAGCGTTTGTAGAAAAAGCAAAAGTCAAAAATAAACTAAGTCCAAATACTGATAAGATAATACCAACACCTATGCGAACTAATATCAATCAAAATGTGTTAAGTTATCTACTGGCCATTGATAGTCTAATACTTGAAGATTCCAGTAGCTAACATTATGTTTTCCCGAATATCATTTTTTTTTTTTGGGAAATTGAAATATGAAACCTTTAAAATTTTAAAAGGACTATATTCTAATTAAATTTTGAATTTGTTAGCAAAACATTAAGAATGAATTTTTGTAAAATTTGATTGCATTCCGGCGTGAATTAAAGCGGCTAAATCGAAACTTATCAAAATTATTCACTAGTCTACAATAAATTTTGCTAAAATAAAAGGAAAAACAATTAAAAAAAATACTAAATGACCGCACCGATATTGTCGGCTTTTGAGTTCTCCTCTTGGTGTTAAACCAGGCCCGAACTAAAACAACTGTTAAATTAATTCAACTAAGTTACTGCAAGAACTGATTGGACTGTTTTAGACTATGTGATCTAGGTAAACGGGCTCATGACAATGTAATATTGAGGACCCATTAGAGTAAATTTATATATATATATATATATATATTTCAGTGCAGTTTCGGGGATGTTTTTTTTTTTGTTGAGGACATAATTTACTTTAGACTGTACAAATGGATTACGACCTAGTTATTCTCAGACCAATATCATTTTTTTTCAAAATCAGCCCATATACAAATAAAACAGTTTTATTTGTGTGTGGGCAATTTGCAAATTTTTATACCCTCCACCATAGTATTGAGGGTATATTAATTTTGTCATTCCGTTTGCAACTCATCGATAACGTTTAGGCATAGCTCCCATATAACGGTACCCCCCCCCCCCCAATTTCGGTATTTTTGGGTTCTTGAGAGCGTTTTTGTTCTTCTTGGGTACCAAATGTCTCCTCTAAAATTTATAAATATCGGTTCACTTTTTCTGGTAGCCCCCATATAACGGTACCCAATTTACGGTATTGTGGGGGTTTAAGCGCGATTTTAAACCGAATTCGCTAAAATTTGGTAGAATGGGTTCTTATTGGGTACCAAATTTCTTCACTAAAAATTATAAATATAGGCCCATTTTTCGGGTAGCCGCCATATAAGACACCCTTAATTTACGGTAATTTGGGGTTCTTTAGCCCGTTTTTCAAGATAATTCGCAGTAATTTGATATTTTGTAGTCGCCTATGGTAACAAATCTTTCTACCAAAAATTGTTATTATTCGCCCCCTTTTAGGGGTCGTTTCCATATATTCCATATTATATTAAAACCAGTAAGGAAAGTTCAAAAGTCGGACGGGGCCGACTATATGATACCCTTCACCACTATGGGTACATGCAAGACATGTTAATATCTACAATATCCTGTAGATATAGAAATTTCGCATACATCAGTGGGGACCTAATTCAGTACTCTGTGCAAAATTTTGCTTCAATCGGCTCAATATTGGGAGTTTGGTGCACAATTTACTTTAAATCGGACGAAACTATATATGGAAGCTATATCTAAATCTTAACCGATTTAAGCAAAACTTCGCATTCATCAATGACCTAATTTAGTACCCTGTGCAAAATTGTATCTCAATCGGATAAATATTGGCAGTATGGTGCTCCATTTACATCAAATCGGACGAAACTGTATATAGCATATTTAGATATAAATCTTAACCGATTCAAACAAAATTTCTCATACATCAGTCGGGACATAATTCAGTACTCTGTGCAAAATGTTGCTTTAGTCGGACCACTATTGGCCTAATTCAATACTCTGTGCAAAATTTTGTCTCAATAAGTTAAAATGGGATGAAAATATATATGGGAGCTATATCTAAATCTGAACCGATTTTCTCCAATAGCGTTCGTCCTTGAGCCAATTAAGTGACCTGTGCCAAATTTCATCCAAATCGGATCATAAATGCGATCTGTACTTTGTTAACAAAAATACATGGACGGACAGACGGACATGCATAAATCGGCTCAGAAAGTGATTCTATGCATATTCTCAAAAGGAACCATGGGTCTATCTCGATTATTTTTGCCTGTTACAAACATTTGCACAAAGACATAATACCCTGTACCACAGTGTGGTGAAGGGTATAAAAATTAGCTGATTAGTTCCGTTTGTAGGGGTTGTCCCCATATAGGCGTATATCTACTGGGGATAGTCGTTAGTCGAAATAGTTAGTTTTACCCTTCAAATTATGGAATTCTAAAACGATTTAACCATCGGTTGTTATACATTAAATTAGACACAACTCCCACGTAAATAAATTTGGAGGTCAATATCATGAAAATTTTTCAACGGCAGATCAATAAATCCGAAACTATTAATTTTTGTTCATATACTTTACTAATTCCCAGATGGGACTAATTGTTTTTGATGAATTAAATACAGTTGGAGCTAACCTAACTTTTTATACCATCTGACATTGACATTTATTTCTAAAGAAGTTCCAACCCTACTATTATCTATACTATAATGTACTACTTGAACTACATTCCCCAAATGGATATGCAATAAAAAAAAACAATATATCAATACAACATTCCTTGTGAAATAACCATTATTACAAATGTATTATTTACGTGTGAAAATATTCATATGTTTCTGACATTCGAAATTTCACGCTTTCCACTCCCTTGCAGTGCAAAGAATATATCTAATTCAATCTGTTTGGAAGTTGGCTAGACGAAATAGCAATCAAACGGAATCGGTTCAAAGGCTGTTATCAAATAAAGTAATGATTTAACATATGACTATTTGATTTGATATTAATCGTGTAATAAAATACTAAGAATGGGCAATAAAAATCCACTTGCCACTGTAGACTAGTGTCACAATAAAAGAAATACAACAACAAAACTACCAAAAACAAACGCTATGTGATAAAGCAGAAGTCATCAAAATCTATTTGAAATTTAATTGTGGGGACAATGCTTACGCAGCCAGACAGTCAGTGTGTCAAACGCTTTGGAGACGCTCGTACACGTTGGTGGCCGGTAAAATTTGTTTAGTTCGTTGCTCGAGTGGCATTTCGTTTCTCTCCCTCGTTTTAGTAGAACAAACATTTCGAAGAAAGGAGACACACGATCGGTCGTTCGCAACGGTCGCAGCATGAAATTCCTAATATTTGTAGCACTGCTCGCCGTACTTCTCGGTTTCGGTTATCTAAAATTCGATGAAGTGACACGTCCACTGCCGTTACCAAAATTCGATACTAATAAATATTGGGGACCCGGAGATGCATCGAAATATAAAGAGGACAAAACAGTTAAGCCATTTACGATTAAAGTTGAGCCAGAGGTTAGTGAACTGAGCGTCAGATGTAAATATTATGAAAATTAAAAAAAAAGTATTTTAGTGAAAAAAATTAGATCATATATAATATCCAACAGTTCATGATAAATAATATTGGTGTATGATAGATTTTTCCAAAAAAAAAATATGTAAAGAATTGTATTTTAGCATTTACATTTCAGAACTCTAAAGTACACAATGAAGAAAGCAAAGCCTTAAGACTTGTACTAAAAAGGACAATTATTTTTAATGAAAATTATGAAATTGATCGGTTCGCATTGAAACGTCGAAAAATGGATCTAATCATGGAACTGTCACGAATTTTTGTCTTAGACCCCATAAATTCTAAATTAAATAAGACATGTTGTACTGAAAATGTTTTTGTATATCCTCCATGTAACGATACCGCCTCATTTTCGGCATTTTGAAAGCTTTTTGCAAACAAAGAGGCTGTAAGTTGACATTAGGGGTTCTTGGAGGTAAAATAATTCATTTGCATACATTTTTATACCCTTCACCACACTGTGGTACAGGGTATTATGTCTTTGTGCATATGTTTGTAACAGGCAAAAATAATCGAGATAGATCTATAGTTCCTTTTGAGAATATGCATAGAATTACTTTCTGAGTCGATTTATGCATGTCCGTCCGTCCATGTATTTTTGTTAACAAAGTACAGGTCGCATTTATGATCCGATTTGGATGAAATTTGGCACAGGTCACTTAATTAGCGCAAGGACGAACCCTATTGGAGAAAATCGGTTCAGATTTAGATATAGCTCCCATATATATTTTCGTCCCATTTTAATTTATTGATGCATCAAACTCCCAATTGTGGTCCGATTGAGACAAAATTTTGCACAGAGTATTGAATTAGGTCTAGATAGTTATATGCCAAGGATTGTTGAAATCAGTTCAGATTTAGATATAGCTCCGATGTATAGTTTCGTCCGATTTAATGTAAATAGTGCACCAAACTCCCAATAGTGGTTCGACTAAAGCATCATTTTGCACAGAGTACTGAATTAGGTCCCGACTGATGTATGAGAAATTTTGTTGGAATCAGTTCAAATTTATATCTAAATATGCTATATATAGTTTCGTCCGATTTTATGTAAATGGAGCACCATACTGCCAATATTTATCCGATTGAGATAAAATTTTGCACAGCGTAATAAATTAGGTCATTTATGAATGCGAAGTTTTGTTGAAATCGGTTCAGATTTAGATATAGCTCCCATATATAGTTTCGGCCGATTTAAAGTAAATTGTGTACCAAACTCCCAATATTGGTTCGATTAAAGAAAAATTTTGCACAGAGTACTGAATTAGGTCCCGACTGATGTATGCGAAATTTCTATATCTACAGAATATTGTAGAAGGGTATGATATAGTCGGCCCCGTCCGACTTCTGAACTTTTCTTACTGGTTATATATAGGTTCCTGTTTTGATATAGCCAAACATACATTTCACGTACAAAATTGGATATTTTTATCGTCCTAAATACATTTTCCAACCAAAGTGGCTATTTTTGGCATTCAGAGTTCTTGGTGGTAAAAAAACTTCTTCGCAAACAAATTTCAATGAAGTTCCATTTTTCGACATGACATAAAGTTCGCACGCCATTTTCGTTATGTTTACAAAAATCCTCTGGGTGAGCAATTTACAATTTATGTACAGGTGTTTGTTTATACACTCAGCTTTATCGGGTTTAGAGCCCATGTATTTTTGGACCAAATCCGTTTCAGACAATTTGGAGTCGATTTAAAAAAGAACGTTCGTCTATCTGTCTGGCCGGTTGGTGCGCAAGATAACTCTCGAAGGGAGTAACCGATTCCATTAAAAATTTGCACATCGACCCCACAAAAATGGTCAGAATTTCGCTTTAAAATTATTTTATAATATCCCGTGAACGGACTATCCGATATGAACTAAACTTTGCACAACCTAATATTATAACCATGACTGTTTAATGTTGAAAAATGGGGCTTATTGGTCCATTCCTTCCGGTACCTCGCCACAAAGGGTAAACAATTTGAACACTTGTGCATCTCATATGAAGCTAACCGAATATCCAATTTCATCGAAACTTTACACATCGTAATATGTTTACATTACCTAGATTGTGTCTGAAATGGGATTCGTCGGTATATACCTTTGTAACCTCCCAAAACAGTGTCAACATTTTTTAAATTTATTAATCCAATATGAATCGAATTGGATGCCCGATTTGATGTAATTATTGCTAATTTAATATTTTACCAAACCTAGGTCAAGTCCGAGATGAGAACCATCGTTCAACTCTCTTTGGTACCTCCCAATAATAATAAAACCTGACAGAGGGTATATATCGGTGGCAACACCGACTGACACTCTTTTAATTGTTTAGTACATTCAATAGTTTGAATAAAATCGTGCCGGCCCCTTAACATCCAGCCCTCCCTACTAATGTATTTAGTAAACTCAACATTTTCATCGTGGTATACGACCGAATTACGTTTCCAAATTATAAAAATGTACTACACAATTTCATGTCGGTGACCGAAGAACGTTAACTTCAATTTTAATCCTATCGTAATTCTTGGCCCCCTAATGATGTGTTGGGAATATCGTCCATCTTTCTATAGACATTAATATAGCCTGCAATAATTAAAATAGCAAAATTCTCCACAACCCTAATACTCATAGGATCATTAGTATTGAATTCGTCTTCCTACATAAACCTTATAAAATATACATTTCCTACAACAACACGAAAATATCAGTCTTCAAACGCTATTAAACTAAATTAACAAAAACATTTCGAATGTACAAGTTCATTGTAATTCTATTGTACTGCACACTATTTACAGCTAATAAATACAAGTAATCTATTTCTATGACAAAACATCAACATTCTCATATTCGCCTCTGCTATTTGTTTGCCTATCTTTTTTAGATCATTACCGATTTGCAAAAACAATTAAACCGCACTTTAAAATTGACAGAGCCACTGGAAGGTGTGAAATTTGAATATGGCTATAATACCGATGCAATGTCACAGGTTGTAACATACTGGCGTGATACCTATTTAGCTAAATGGCCAGAACGTGAAGCTCTGCTGAATAGTTTGCCTCAATTTACAACCGAAATTCAAGGGTAAGTAATGACGGATATGATAAAATTATTAAATAATCTATATGCAAGAAATGTTTACAAATAGTCGACGACGACATTTTTAATTGAAAATAAAAAATGTGTATGATTGAAATAATTCTTAGACAGTTTTGTGAGATTCATTTCACGTCCACTAAAGAAATTTTAAAGAGTTTTTATAAATTATCAAATCCTAAAAGTATGCTACAATTTTTTAATTTCTCCAATTCGCCTCAATATTATGTTTTTAGCTAGTACCAAGGTATATTTAATAAGGTAGCCGCATCGGGCCAGCTGTTGGACAAATAAATGTCAAAAATGTTGTTGTAATGTTGAACCAAAAAATTCTGACGCTATGTATAAAGGACACAAGATATTTCATATATGACGACAAAATATTTAAACAAAATAAAGGTATGCCTATGGGCTCTCCAGCCTCCCCTGTCATAGCTGACATAGTTATGGAGAAATTGCTGGACTCATCAATTCAGAGAATGTACACAAAACCAAAGATTTTGACCAAATATGTGGACGACATTTTTACAGTCATGAAAAAAAGACGAAATAAAGGATAATTTGGACATCTTGAACTCATTCAACTCTCAAATACAATTTACTATGGAACTTGAAAGCAACAACCAATTGCCATACCTGGATTCACTAGTGATACGAAAAGGACCCCATCTCAAACTTGACTGGTACCAGAAACCTACAGCGTCGGGACGACTGATTAACTTTACATCTAGACATCCGAGAAGAACAATAATCAACACTGCATCCAATTTCATAAATAGGGTTTTAGACATAAGCCATCCAGACTATCACAACAAAAACATTAATATAATTAAGAAGATCCTGAAGAAAAATTATTTTCCGGACAAAACTATTGACAATCTCATGATACGAGCAAGAAAAGAAAAGACAAAGAAAACAAGCGACAACAGCGAGAAAATTTACAAAACTATGACATATACACGTGGGTTTTCAGAAAGATTAAAACATTCTAACATTTACGACAACACAAAATTTGAGCTGGTATTTAAAACTACAAACACGCTGAATAATCTTTTCAGCAAATTAAAAAGTAAAATACAAGACGAGGAGAAATCCAACGTAGTATACCGCATTAAATGTAAGGGAGACAAGTCCAACGTATGCCAAAAGGTATATGTTGGCACTACTAAGACAAAATTAAAGACAAGAATATCCGCACATAAATCGGATCAAAAAGCTCTGTACAAACCCATAGAGCAAAAAAACAGCCCTTGCAGCACACTGCACAAAAACAGGACATACCCCAGATTTTAATGACATAAAAATTCTAACTCAAGAAAGTAATTATCAAAAAAGGTTTACTCTTGAGATGTTGCACATAATCAACACTCCACTTGACACTCGACTCAATTATAAAACCGACACAGACAACTGCGCTCAAATCTATAGACACACAGTAAACAAATACAAATCTGGTAGACTTTAGTTGAAGTAAGAACGTTGACTTAAAGACAACATAACTTTCTTCAAGTAAGTTTATTTACATATTGTTATTGTTGTTTCAAAATCTGTTAAAATATATGTAATTGTAGTTCCCTGAGGATGATTGGAGAATCCAATCGAAATATTGGAAACAATAAACATTAAAAATCAAAATTAGAAACGATTTTTACTTTTAAAAAGCCTACAGCCGAACTAATACAACAAAGATAAACAAAACTAGGCAAACGATACCAATTCAAAAACCAAAATTATAAATGAAAATCTCCGAATTTCTAATAGCTTTTTTGGCAATACTTTTATTAACATTTTCTACAAGAATTTGTGTAAAAAAATCTTGTCAATCTGTTTGTTTTGGCAAAATATTTTTGACATATCAAAATACAACAACCGATGTTTGTTGTAGAAATTCGCCGATGCGGCTACCTTGTATATCTACCTTGGCTAGTACATACCAAACTGTAACAAATTATATACGATTTTGTTGTAATACCCTGCTAACGAATGACTACAGAATTCATTAATTGCTCAGAATTAATCGCCAACTGCCAACAATGCGTTTGATTAACGAATTTAACACGGGGATGACATTGGCGGTCCTCAATTTCTACCTTCTGCATAACATTTTCATAATGATTTCACCAACAACATGTAGCGTGCGATTTTACTAATACCCTGAATGATGGTTAGAGTATTTATACTAGCTATGTGGATACTAAGACCGGGCCAATGAAATCGTTATTCTGAGAACCCCAACTATTTATCTAGTCTATATGTACCAGTTGTTTCTCTAATGAGTTCACCGTAATGAACAGATTTTTTAGTTGTTTAATTATGAAAAAATAAGGAATTTAAAACTATAAAACATAAAATAACTTATTTTTATAAGAGAAACAAATAAAGATATCATGGCATAATTACAGAAGGTGGTCTCATTTAAGAATTTTATGATGGCAACCCTTTTTAATTTGGAACTCATCTATAAATTTCAAACAGTTTGAAAAATTATTTCCATAAAATTGTATGTATGTCGATTGGCATATTTTTAATAAATTAAACAAAATATGTTTTCTAAAGCTGAACATTACATCTTACAGTTATAATTTTTTGAGGCACGGAACTTCAACATATTTATAAATATAAATTATTTACCAATTTTTGCCACTGAACATATGATATGCGTACATATCGAAAGAAGATATTTTCATTTAAATTTTGAATGCTGAATGTTGTTAAAAGCAAATTTTTGAAAAAAATTGGAAACATATGACTGCCTGATACTACCTTGTATAATTATGCCATGGAAGATATCTATACTAATAAAAGTGTAAAGTGATTGACTGACTGACTGATTTAACGATTCATCAACGCCCAGACAAAACGGCTGAAGCTAGAATCTTGAGGATCACTCTTGGCCCAAATGTGACATATAAGGCTGGGTTTTTGGAAATTCGTACGAAAAGTACTAAAAAGTACTAAATGTGATACCATTTGTATTTAGCTAACCGGTGGAGCTAGAAATCTGAAATTTGGGTTAGAGGTCGTTGATTGAGTGTAGGATAGCAGTACTAAAGGGTTTTTGGAAATTGGAACTATAACTATTCGAAAAGTACGAAAATACACTAAATTTGGTACAATTTCGTAGCATGTAAATGGAGTGAGCTAAAAACTTGAAATTTGGAATGTAAAATAACGTTGAGAAGTAGGGTCGATATGAGGAGAGTTTGGAAAGCGTGTACTCATGCGTACGAAAATTACTATATGGTACTATATCTGGTACAAATTTGATTTGGAGGTACAAATCGAGCTGGAATCCTGAAAATTGAAATTAACATTACCGTGGGAGTTACTTATGTGTACAAAAAGTACTAAATCGTACTATAATTGGTACAATTTGGATTTGGTTGAACCGATAGAGCTAGAATCATGAAATTTGGAGTCAGGATCACTGTTGAGGTGTAAGATTGAAATATGTAGGAAGTTTTAGAAATTTGTACTAATGTGTACTAAATTTGGTACAATTTAAATTGTGGATGAACCGATAAAGTAGAAATCATGAAATTTTGATTTAGGATCACTGTGGGGGTGTAGGGTTGGGGTATGTAGGAAGTTTTAGAAATTTGTACTAAGTGTACCAAATTCAGTACAATTTAAATTGTGGGTGAACCGATAGAGTTGGAATCCTGAAATTGTGATTTAGGATCACTGTGGAAGTTTTGAAAATTGGTACTACTGTGTATTAAATTTGGTACAATTTGAATTGTGGGTCAACCGATAAAGTTGGAATCCTGAAACTTGGATTTAGGATTACTGTGGAGGTGTAGAATTGGGGTATGTAGGAAGTTTTGGAAATTTGTACTAAATTTGCTACAATTTGAATTGTAGGTGAACCAATAGAGTTGGGATCCTGAAACTTGGATCTAGGATCACTATGAGAGTGTCTGTTTAGGTTAAGTGGGAAGTTTTGGAAATTCGTACTACTGTGTACTAAATTTGATACTATTTGGATTATAATTAAGATTTTATCTAATTCATGATTTCAATTGGATTGCATGATGTAGGTAGTAATAGAAATTTTACTTATGTGTTCTAAGTGGTACTAAATGTGATACAAATTGGATTTAGGTGAACCGATAGAATCCTGAAATTTGGAATTAAGATTGGGGTAAGTGTTGGAAATTTGTACTTATGATTGCAAAAGTAGGTAGTTATGGAAATTTATATTAATGTGCACTAACTGATACTCAATTTGGATTTGGGTGAATCTATATTAGATTTTTTTTCAAAATAAGTATTACAAGAGTACAAATGGTAAAAAATTACACCAAATTTATTATAGGGTTGAGATACAGAGGTAGATTTAAGAACATACTAAAATTTTAATAGTGGTCGATATAGGGTTTTAAATACATCCCACATTCGCTAACGAAGTAGCGGGTATATGCTAATGTAGATAATATTTAATTGTTCACAAGCATGTTTTGCCTTTTTGAGCCAGATTTCGCTTTTATTTAACTATCTTAGACATTCTTAACTGCGCTTCAGCCAGTTCAGGGAATTTTGTGTTTACTGGTATGGATTCTGAAAAGAGATAAAATAAATGATGTGAAATTTTAAATTTATATTACCTATTAGCGTGGCATTTTTCAGACCTTTGAGACTATTTTTTGCCATGAACCCCATCAATATTGTAGGCCATGACAGCTTCTGTACTTAAAATATACTTCAAGTTTTTTTCAACTCCACATGACTGCAGTATGGAGTTTATAATAAGCGTGCTTGTTTTCATCAGTAATGTCACTATTTAATTTAATTAGTTTCTCTACTAACAGAAAGGGAATTTTTTGATGCAAATCTAATCCACTATTTTGCTGCCGCAAAAGTTTATTTAATAGAACTTTTCTCTCTGCATACAATTCCAGCAATAGTTTAATGTGACGGCTTATTATATTTTCTCGCTGTTGGAAATAATTAAAAAAATGTGAAAAATTAACCAATAGAGAAATAAAATAGGTTTCTTGCCTCATTAATTGTTTCTAACAATTCCTCGCATTTGCAAGTACAGCATTTTTCGGTTTCCACGCTTAATTGAACAAGATGATGGGGCAAAAAATATTTCATAGGAAAATACATGTAAATTTTCTCGGATAATTAAACTCTGTTAATTGATTTTCCCGCTTAATTGGTTCAAAATTCATGTCATCAAAAATAAATTTCCTTTTACTTTTCCTCGGTTAATTGCAAAATAATAATTGAAAAATAATCTGGCATTTTTTACATACATATTTGACATAATTTCTGAAAAATACTAGGTGGCATCTCTACTAATTCAAAATATATGTTTATTGCTAAGGAAAAAACTGCGAGAAAGCGTAATTTGTAGTAGTTCCAATTATACGTGATTACTGTAATTGAACAAGCTATTCAATTAAGCGGGTTCGGATAATTGGTTCCTCGGTTAGTTGAATAAAAATTTGTGCAAATTTTGATGTGCAATTAACCGAAAAATACTGTATTCTTATTCTCTGGCTGGATTAAAAATTGAAAGTTTTATGATTTAAATAGATAAACTAAAATATTTTGCGAAAATTCAAATTATTTTTTAAAATTAATAATTTTTTCAATTAATTCTTCTTTTTTTTTTCTTTGTTGCGATTGGACTGACTTCTTCTGGCCATTTTACCTTAAAATGAAGCCAAACATTTTTTTGTTATCTTAATTTTCTTCTGAATAACGTTACACGCTGTCTAAAATGTCATATCTATCAAACAAATGTCGGTTTTCGGTGCATAATGTTTTCTTCTGTTCATCTGTTTTGTATATATATGTTTAACATCAACGGCAGTTAAGTTTAAAATTCTCAGATGTGCTAATTAGGGGACACGTAATTAGCACATCTGGGAATTTTTAACTTAAATTTTACGTGTTTTATAAATAACGTTATAATTTTCTGTTCTCACACTTAGTCGCTCTAATACAGTAGACATAAGCGTTTTGAGAAAAAATTATTTAAAAATATACCAAACGAATCCAGGGTTAATCAAAACACTATTCCCTTCAGGCGTGTGCTAATTATGTGACCGACACTATATATGATATAAAATTATTGTAGGTCTACATTTTAGTAAAGATATATTGAAGAATTACTTTAAATTCCCGAAAATGTAAAAACTTGAAAGTATTGCAAATATCTTTGTGGGGAAGTTTATTACTTCGCAGTCGCATTAAATTCATTGTTTAATGTACTTCTATCCGCTAATTAGTATTAAACGTCCCTTTCTTTCTAATTTTTCCAGATTAAAAATCCATTTCATTCATGCTAAACCCAGTGCTGAAGCTTTGCAAAAGAAAAAGGTGTTGCCACTTCTTTTGTTGCACGGATGGCCCGGCTCAGTCAGAGAATTTTACGACTTCATACCCATCCTAACCGAACCAGCTGAGATGAATGATTATGTTTTTGAAGTTATTGCACCATCCTTAGTCGGTTATGGCTGGTCAGATGTAAGTACACGGAAGCGAATATCATCTAAAATATTTATATATAACATTATTTCCTTAATTTTTCAGCCTGCCCGTAAAGTAGGATTCAATTCTGCCGAGATGGCCATTGTTATGCGCAATCTTATGTTGCGTCTAGGATTTGACAAATTCTTAGTGCAAGGTGGAGATTGGGGTTCCATTATTGGTAGGGATGTTGCCACCATCTTCCCGGAAAATGTTTTGGGTTATCACTCCAATATGTGTGTGATGCAAACTCCTCTGGCCATTATGAAGAGTATTGTAGCCAGCATTTGGCCTGAAAAATTCCTTCCTTCCCGCTTTTTCCACGATCATCACTTTCCCCTGTCTGAGAAGTTGAAATTCTATTTGGAGGAAAGTGGTTATTTCCATATTCAGGCTACTAAACCCGATACTGTTGGCACAGCTCTTCTAACTAATCCCGTCGGACTTGCCGCCTACTACCTGGAGAAATTCCAATCGGCAACTGGCCCCGCTAACCAACAACGTTTTGATGCCATTAGCAAAGTTTACACTTTCGACGCAGTTTTGGACAATATCATGATTTATTATTTGACCAACAGTGCCACCACAGCTGCCCGATTCTACAAGGAGAATATGTCGAAGACGTATTTGGGATTGCAATTGGAACGTGTTCAAACACCAGTTCCAATGGGCTGTGCCCGTTTCCGGTTTGATTTGCCACCAGCCCTCGATTGGCAGCTGTTGGACAAATTTCCCAACTTGATTCACAGCAAATACTTTAACCAAGTTGGCCATTTTGCTGCTTTGGAAGCACCCGTTATGCTGTATATCGACTTTGCTGAATTTGTGAATAAAATTGAATTCAAGTAGAATTGTTAATTCTTCTAGTTATTTGTTTAATTGTTATTGTTTTTATATGAACTATTTATTGTGTTTTTTACATAAATAATTTAATAAACGACTGTTTTTTGTATTCATCCCTATAGTAATACTGTTATTTTTAAATCAAATCGAACACTTTAATAGTACGTTTACATTATACCGGATTTCGTTAACCCAGTGGGTTTCAATTGTCAATTCCATTGTATACATGTCAAATAGATCCTCATAGAGTAGGTTAACCAGGTAAAAAGTTATAATTTAAATGCCGCTTAAAACAGCTGTTCGATGGATATAAACCATGATACAATAATACAAAGTAGGATAGCTTGAGGTGAATAACAAAGAACAACTCTGTAGGTAGTGGTTTCTTCTGTGAAATATAAGAGGCAGTTAAATTTAATAAAAAGATTATGTAGGACGAAAATTGTTATAATAATAAAAAAAATAGTACATATGAATAGAAGATAAATTTTATAAAGTAGTGGTGTGCGCTTATTTTATAATGGTTTTAATGAATTCTTCCCTTACATAATTGTTCTGGATTAAATTTTATTTGCTGTGTTTTGTATCCTTTATATTTCTTTATATTACATATAAACTCTTCGTACGCAAGTCCCTCGGTTTTTACAACTTCTATTAAAAAAATAAGTGTGGAAGATTTATATTTAAATATTTGTTACTTATTTGAAAGTGTTTACAATATAGGGGCACTTATAAGTTGTATAGAAGTACTGGGGGCATTTACCTTTTCTTCCCTAAGTACTTGGATTATATCATCTCCCAATCTCCTGCTAATATGATCTTAATTTTTCTTTTTTTTATTTACATAGTAAACTAAATTATATGTCTTGGTAACAAACTATATCTGTTATCACTAGACAAATATCGTGTGAAGCGTCCATGTTTTTGAACAGTACACTTTTTAGTTTGTCCCACTGTGCGGCGTTTGAGAGTCAATTCCTTACTATTTCCAATTGCTGCAGCACTCTTTAATCATGAACACTAAGGATTGTAGGCATGGCTCTTTAAGTGGTATTGTACTAAATGTCAGTTTATGTGGGCTACGTTCTTTTTTATTATTTTAAATTTTGCAAATGCGAATTTAACAAACCATGCCTGAAAGATTTGGAATTAACAGCTCCATTCCTGGAACTACCTCCAAAATCTTGGAGTCCATCTATAACATCATTCGCTTCATTTAATTATAATTCTTTCGGTACATCGAGTTCGCCAAAAGCAATAATGATTAAGCGATCCTTAAATTTTCTTTTAGATATTGATCAACACACTTTCAGAATACGGTACATAAAGAATCTGGTAATTTCTGAGTGAATTATATCTACTTACTTAGCTGTCTTGTGACAGAACATTTGTTCCATAAGTCAAGCTTAAAAAAGATTTCCAGACGCGTCGGTGTTATGCGCAGCTCATCCAATTTGAAAGACCATGTTCGGGGATGTTGTCTTCCACTTGATCTTTCCATCGAATTCGCGGCTTTCCCCTTCAGTTGGCTCGCTTTACGTGACTTGGCCAACGTAGCCGCTGCAGCTCGATACATCTGACTATGCCGATGTCCGAGAATTGATTCTACAACTCATGCTTCATTTAACGGCGATATTCACCTTCGACGCAGGTCGGCCCATAGATCTTTCGGAAAATTTTTCTCTCAACCACTTCAAGAGTTGCCCCATCTGCTTGCTCAAGTACCCATGCTTCATACCCATACAGTTGGAGTTTGGTCTGGCGGGAGGTGATATTGTTTCTAAACTGCTTACTTAGACCATAGAAGCATCTGTTAGCCAACACTATTCTCCTCCGAATTTCAAAACTGATGTCATTAGTTTTATTTATGGTGGTACCAAGGTTCTGAAGTTCCACAGTTGGTCCGAGTCTACTGGACGTCTTGCGCGTTGGTACCATCAACTTGGTCTTCTCGTCATTTACTGCCAGACCCACTTTGGCAGACTTTTTCTCAATTAGTTCAAAGGTGGCTGTTACCGCTCGCAATGTTCCATTGTGTCGATGTCATTATATATTAGTATGTACTATTCAGGGTGACATCTGTAAGGAATGTATACGTAATCTTTATTAACCTATTATTACTCTATATACACTGTACATGTGTAAATAATAAGACAAATAAAAATATACTTATTTACACAAAAAACAAATCTTCATATTTAAAATATTTAATTTTTTTTCTATGTATACAAACAATTTATTGACAAACTGTACACACAAAATGTGTGTGTATAATAACGTATTTAAAGTATATTCTGGAAGCCGACATGAGATAGCATAATCATCAAATGTTGTATACAACAACAACGCTAATTCATTCCCACCGAAAATTTTTGCCGGCTTTTCGTACTAAACAGGAATACGAGCAAACTTTGTTGTTATTCCATTTTTTGAACTCTCGCCGAAAATAATCTGAACAAGCGAAAGTGCAAAGATCGTCATTGCTCACCAATGGCACTGCTTTAGCAATCAGACAAAAGCTTTTGTCTTTTGAACACACAGAGTGGAGAGAGCGCGAGAATGGCAGAGCTAAAATAAACGACATTAGTCGTGTTTTATTAAATATTCGCAAATAAAAGACGCAAATGTGTTGGTCTCTAAAATGTGATTGTGTCGTGACTGTTCTCTCATAAATATTATTTTTTATAAATGCCTAATTTCGGGAGTTCAATTTCAAAATTTATTTTCTTATATTAATATTACTTATAGTATATGCTACACAAAAGACAATATTTCTGCGGCAGGTAATTGCTCTCAAATATGACATTGAAGAAGGTTAAATCTGGAGATTTGTTATTTTATATTATTTTATAAAATATAATATAACCATAGAATATAATATAACCAATTATTTCTATTCCAGTTTTCGTTCGCATTAATTGCTATAATAAATGATAATTTAAGTCGTATAAACGCTATACAATGAAATAACGATAAACAAATATTATTTTGGAGTTTTGTAATTTTTTTTAGCGTAGCTTCAGTAAATCATAAATTAAAAAAGTTCTAAACCATTCATTGATTTTAGCATGTCTAAAGAAATTTTTAAATCAATATTGTATGAAATATTTCATTGAATATAGAGTAGTTTATTGTAGAATATTGAATTTCATTGACTATCAATATGAATACATTCTTGTACCGGGTTTCAGAAGCCAATTGATTATAAAAAGTACAGGCCGAGATACATACATAAGAGGATTTTAGGCACGACATCTTAATTTGATATTGTTTTATGTAAAAGAATAAAGAAGGACGTAATCAATATCGGTACCCTCTTTTGGGAAAGCTCTAACATAACGGTAAACACATTATTCGGTATTTTGAAGATTTCAGGCATCACGCGTCATTTTATGTTCAAGGTCCTATTACATCCTGAGTGTTAGGTATTTTGAATGTACATCACATGGTAGAGGCTATAAATAGTTCGAACCAAATGAAATTTTGGCTGCTTTATTTTCTATTTGATCATTTTCAATTTTCTTTGTGGATAATTGATTTCCGTCCTCTAAGGTAACTTTATTAGTTGGATACAGCAATACAGTTTGATCGGAACCTATAAAAGAAAGTTCCAAGAAAATTATGACAAAAACAGCCGAGGAAGCAGCTAGTCAGAACAAGGAGAGCAAGCTACACCGAACATTAGATTGTCTCACAAGTAGAACGTGTTAGACTACTAACAAACAATGAATAACATACTCAAAGGTGGAGAGAACATTTCGATGAAATCAATATCGTAAGAAACGCAATAAAAAATAACAAAACGTACAATAGGGTCCAACTGGAAAAAAATTTGCAACCATAATACAGAGAACAATGAATAAGCTGACTTCAGACCAAATAGATGCTGTGTGAACCAGGCATACCTACGTGTCATAATAGAACAAACTAGAGATTGACGCACCCCCTTTGTATCTTCCGTTCATCGACTTCAAGAAAACTTTCGACACCATCTGACGAAATGCCACATGGACATCATTGAACAAAAAGGAATCACACCAGATAATAATTAAGCATGTGTACTTGCGGCAATTCTTTTTTCGTTCTCTTTTGAACTTGCTTCGTGCGTTTATACAAGGCAATTTGGCCCCTTGATCCTCTCTCCTACCATCAAAGATTTGCCACAAGTAAACTTGCCTAATACAAATTGGGACAAATATGTATTTAAAATGTTTATACCCTTCGTCACACTGTGGTACAGGGTATTAGTCTTTGTGCATAGAATAACTTTCTGAGTTGATTTATGCATGTCCGTCTGTCCGTCCACGTATTCTTGTGAGCAAAATACAGATCGCATTTATGATCCGATTTAGATGAAATTTGGCACAGCCCACTTATTTGCCCCAAGGACGAATCTACATGGTGCACCAAACACCCAATATCTGTTTAGCCCGATTCCATTTCAATGGTCCTCTAAAGATTATATGTCTGTTCTATCTACAGTATATTGTATATATTAGCATGTTTTGTATGTATCCAAATTGGTGAAGCGCCCTGTCGGCCCTGTCCGACTTTTGAACATTCCTTACTGGTTAATTTTATTTTATTCCAGGCATTTTCAAGGAAAACCCGTAATGGCAGTTTCAGAGTTTTTAACTTACAAATTTATTTACTGCAACTAAAAATATTTAAAATGTTTTAGTTAAAATGTAATTATTTAAAATGTTTTGGTAGTGGTTATATCAAAGAGCTACAAAATGTTACAGAAGCAATGATATTTTTTCAAATAAAATTGTGAACTACGACGGCAGTGCAGCCAAATGACTTGAACATTATTATATCCGAAGTGATTTTAATAGGAGCAGCGACACTGCTAGATTTGCATGTTTTTTTTTAAATTGTCAACAGAATGAAAATAAAACACGACTAATGTGTATATGAACTAACATACAGACATTCACGCTCTCCTCTCTTATCTAACTTTTTGAATTGTTGTTGATGCGAATAGAAAATCAAAAAACGCATGCTAGCGTAAACTGTATGTGTGTGCTTTTTTTTAAAAGTTTTTTCTTTGAATTTAACCAGAAACAACTGTATTGAAGTCGCTGTTTCAGTTGTTTTTACCTACTCGAAGTGTTAGGTACCCATTGAAACTTCTCCGTGCGTAGCGGTGTTCCCCCATCGTCGTATTCGGTAGAAAGAAATTAATTAATTAACCAAAGGAGATCGATATTCCTGCCCAAGAATATATCATCTAGCTAGCCATGGGTGTTATGGTCAGAGTTTTAATTGCGGGCCTTTGCTTGGGTGTCGCTGCCTTATTTCAAAATTACCGTTTACTAAAACAGCCCATCCCTGCGCCTAAATTAGATGACAAACAATATTGGGGACCAGGCAGTGGAGCTGATTATAAAGAAGATGTTGCAATTAAACCATTCGATATTACCGCAAAACCGGAGGTGAGTAAAATTGTGATGCTAGTATTGTAGGATAGGTGGGGAGAGTGACAAATGTAACAAAGTGTTATTTGCGCACAACTTAAATATGTACTATATATTATAGTTGAAATAAGACTAAGCTGATATCACGTCCTAAAGAGTTAGCAAATGTTTTTCTAAGATAAACTTTCGTTTTAAATCCAGTGCTGGTTGCGTATTTGGGTAATTAAATGTGATACTGGGCTATTCGAAGTGAATTTTATCCTTATAAACTTTTTTTATTATATACAAATAGATGATTTCGAAATAAATTTAGAATATAGGACAAAATCCAATATGGGATGGTCACTTCAACTCAAAATAGTTTAGAGTTGGCTTCTTATCGATGACCATGAAACCCCCAATAATTCGAAATAAGAAAGAGCTTTTAAATATGGTAGACACTTTTATATTCGGATAGGATATGGATGTGCCACTCGAATCCAAATCCGCTAAAATAGTCATTAATTATTTTATCTATTGTGTCTTTTTATTGGAATATAGTTAACTGTGACTTTATTAATAAGATAATTATATTATTGCAAATCCGCACTTCCGTCATTCTTAATTAACACCCATATTGCTTTAGAGAATTTTAGAAGGTTCCCATGGAATTTTGGTGTCGATAAAATTATAAGTGCTTTATATTAATTAGTGAATTTTAACAAGTTAAAACGATGTTAAATTCGGACCTGCCAAACTTTTTTTACACTCCACAATGAGGATGACATTCAAAATATGTAAAATTAATGGGGGCTAGTAGGAGAAAACTCATGACCTTGAATATACCGAAAAAGACGTGAGCAAATATGATTGCCAAATAGGGGCTATACCCAAACGGAGATATATATTGATAATTTTGCGTAGTGAAAACCTTTTTAAGTACAGTTATGCGGGGTTACCTTTATATGATAATAATAAATAATTTTTAGTACAAGGATGTGCTATACAATGATAACCCAAAATACTAAATAAAGCCAATTCGTTTGAAAAACGTTTGCCAAATCTCCAAAATACCGAATATTGGGGGTACCGTTATACGGGAATGTGCTATACAATGAGAATCCAAAACATAAAAAAATTACAACCGATTCGATTAAAAAACGAATCCAAAATACCGAATATTGAGGGTATTCTTATATGGGGACTACACCAAAATGTGGACCGATATATCCCATTTTCAATATCAATCATCGTTGGAGCATTAGCAATGTCTGTGTTAAATTTCAGAGTTCTATCTTAAAACAGAAGGACGCGCATTAATCGACATAGAATTTTATTTTGATCAAGAATATATACACTTTATGGGGTCTCAGGTGCATCACCACCTACATTGCTTTCGGGATGAACGATTTTTTTTTTTTTTTTTTTTTTTGAGAAAGCCTCATTTGCCAACTATTTAACGAATTTAAAGAAATTCTGAAACACATTTAAGGTTACTAGCCCAGATATTGAATGACATTTTTCTGTATATCTACGAAGAACAATTTTCAACAAAAAAAATTGCACACATGTATCATTTTCAAAATCTTATTTATTGTCATATATATGTATAGCCCAATTGACCAACAAAACATATGTGTATGTGTTCATCTATAGAAATGCCACAAAATGTTGCAACAACATGTATATGTTTGCCATGTCTTAAGAATGTTGCAACAATATTTGCACACACAGACACTAACACACAAAGCTTGTTAGAAAAACAACTTTGGGGAGGGAAAACTTTAGTTAATTGATAATTTTAAAACCTGTCTTGTGAATAAGAAGTTCCACGACGTACACCACATGTACCAATTAATTACAACAGGTGGTCTGTGAATATTTCAAAATGAATACACAATAGTTGCATGACAAACAAAGGTACTAAAAAACGAAATATTGAGTACATATGAACACATATGTTTGGAAACTATGTCCAATCTGCGTGAACTTGACATGCTTATGTGAATACAAGTATGGAAATAACTTCAGTAAAGGGAAAGTTCCAGAATTGGTCATCATAATTGCATGCCTTATTTCCGAATGATATTAACCATGACCAAGTAGTGATTGTCGAATTGTAATGAATATTGATGCAATTGTATGTACAATAATGGTAGTACTGGTGTCATTGAGTTCAAAGTTGACAGATGAGTAATACAAATAATGACAATAATTGTGGGTGACATGAACCGATGTATATATAAATGCTTAATATTTGACATTTGAAAAAAAATCTTTGCCTTCATTTTTAAAAGCACTACATAGAAAATAAAGAATATAATCTTGAGGGCATAAATTAGGTTGCAGCACGCATATACTAAACATTCGATAACGATTTTATTCGCCCATTTCTCCAAGGTACTTTTAAAAATTAATACAGAGATTTTTTCAGATTTCCATGTGGAGAATGTAACTGTTTTGAGTCATCCACCCAATAACATTTTCAAATTCAGATTCCAAAATTACATAGTTGAATTCAAAAGTTAAAACTCTTCGGCGTAACAACATACTTGTCTAGTGTATAAAAATAAAATATCGAAAACAATTAATAACAGTCATATTGTTTATTATCCACATCCTAATATCTGTATATTCGTTATAACCATCTCGAAACTAAAAGCAAAAATATCTTTTATTGTTTCACTTAACATCACCAAGATCTTTTTTTAGTTATCTCCATTGTAATATGGCCAGTGACCCTTTCTCAGCAGATCTATGAAACTTTTTTAAACAAGTTTGGAGATTGAATCGCAATACGTTATGTATCGACCATCTCTTAATTATGCAAAATTCGCTTATTAACCCACATAAATATTTGGGATTTTTATCTTCCTTTTTTCGTTTTCTTCTTAATTACTTTTTTTCTGACGGGGAATAACCTATATTTTTGCGTTTATCAAATTTTATGTTTACAATATTTTTCGAAATCAGTGGTTTCGGCACCGTATTTGATGTTTTTAAATATTATTACATACATATTAGCTTCTTTAAAGACCATTATACAAAATTTGCCCAAACCCTGTGAGCTGTTTAGATGTATTTTGATAGGTACATTATTTAAATGCTGAATTGTTAAAATAACATTGATCATATATTAATAATTAATATATATATATACATTTCCACATTTATTGCATCACTCAAATTTCAAATTAATAATTTATTTACAATATCTATTTTTTCTTTCAGATTATTGAAGATCTTAAATTACAACTACAACGACCATTAAAATTACATGATCCATTGGAAGATGTGGCATTCGAATATGGTTTCAACTCGAAATATTTACAAAAGGTTATCAAATACTGGCGTGATGATTATTTGCCCAAATGGTCGGAACGTGAAAGTTATTTGAAAAAGTTTAATCATTTCCAAACCGAAGTTCAAGGGTAAGTTTAAATCAAAGAGATTATGATTATGAAATATGTTCAGCTTATAAAGAGAAATAAAGAAGCATGGCAAAAAACACAGAAAAAGCAAATCGATTGGTAGTTAAGTAGACGGTTGGTCCATTCGGTTGAATAATCTGTTGTGACTAATTTTATTTTATAAAAAACACACACATATTAGTGAAACCGTTTTCAGTTTACTTTTTCACTTTTATTTTTTGCAAACATTAGCAATTTGATGTTTTTTGCTTTGAAACGAAGTAACAATATTGCAAAGGGTAGTCTGATAAGGTGGGAAAGATTTGTTATGCCAACATATTATTCAAGCCAAGCAAACTTCTATGTCAAAACAAAATATGTCCACATTTTGGTATAGTTACTACTGTGTTAATGTTGTAAAAATAAAAAAACTAAATTTTGAAAACAAGGAAGAGTTTTTTCCTCGTCCTCCCTAGAGATTTAAGTAAAATTTCGCACCACGTATTTTTAAATTATCTATAATTGTGCTCACTTTTTTTTGAGAGTATTTAAATGTTTAGATTGGCAAACTAATTTGGTTTCCTAATTGTGTATGCAAAGAAGAGCCCCGCCAAAAAGTATATACATACATTGTATCTACGCCACGTACACATATGCTTGGGCCATTGACCATTGGCTGCATTTATGGTTAGGCGTAGGTTAATCCATACGACAATTAATGACAAACCATATGTTTATTATTGATATGTTTACAATTGTTTTTTATACGGTATATACTTATTAAATGATTATTGGAAAGTTTATAGTTCAAGGTAAACTGAATTATTCACACCTTATGTTAAATGAGCGGTGTGTGTGTGCATGTGGATATGTCTTTACTTTCCGCCAAATCCACACACAGTAGCCGTTGATTGAATTTCAATTATGTTCTTTTTTATTACCGATTTCTGATAAAAAAAAATGTTTGATAACTAAGATTCGGGAAGATTCTATAAACTTTGAACTATCAAAATCCCAATTTAGTAGTTGTGATAGCAAAAATAGAAATGTTCGAGTCAATTAAAAATAGCCAATTCATTATTTGACCAGAATTATTAACCCACGCAAGTGTTATCAGTTGATAAGTATTGAAACTGGGTTCCTCAGGTTGTTGCTATTTTAGAATTCTGAACATAGATTATAATCAAATTAAATAATAAAGTATATCGGAAAATAATTCAAGACACCTGTTTAGTGTTAGGGTCAAACTGCAAAAAAAATCGAGTCCAGATGTTAAGCTATCGATGTGCGTAATTTTTTATTATTTCTAATGATTACTACATACCTGCTAACTAATTTAAGTTTGCATTCGATTTGATCTCCTTGATCATCCATTAAAAACAGACATGGCTTTAAACACAGACATGGCTTTAAACACAGACATGGCTTTAAACACAGACATGGCTTTAAACACCTCAGCGGATTTATAGTCGACGAATAGGTTGAAGATGTCGATGTGTTTTTCGTGGGTCTTTTGGCGCAGATTGAAAATCTGGTGGATTTGCCAGGCCTTAAGCCACATTGGTATGGTCCAATAATGCCATTGACCATTGGCTTCAGTCGTTCACACAGTACGCTGTATGCGATGGGAAGGAGACTTATTCCTCTATAGTTGGCATATATCGTTTTCCCTCCTTTTTTGTGCACGAGACACGGAATGCTGAGGGTCCCATCATTGGACATGCATTCCTCTAGCCAAATTGTACTAATCATGATCAGCATCTGACCACCTGTTTTGAATAGTTCGGCTGGTAATCCATCGGTACCTGCTGCTTTATTATTCTTCAGCCGATTTATTGCTATTCTGACCTCATCTTGGCTAGTTGGTTCTGGGGTATCTTCTTCACCGTTACTCTTTGATACCAGAAGCTTTACGAAATGATCCTTCCAGATCTTTAACACGCTGTCTGTATCTGCCATATTTATATATTATTAGTGAGAAAATTTGAACCCCCATGAGAACGCAAATTTAGTTGAAAAACATGCCCAAAGTCCCAAAAAGGCCGAATAATCTATAGGGCTACCCCGAAACATGGATCAATATCAAATTGAAGCCAATTCGGTTGAAAAACGTTCCCAAGTCCACAAAATGTTGACAATTGGAGCTATTCTAAAAAGTAGCCCAATATGGATAATCTTTGGTAGGTTAATTTGGTGAATATTTCGAAGTGTTACAAACGGAATGACAAATTTAATATACACTCAACCTTGTAATGGAGGGTATAAACATTTGTTCAACACTTCTTCTCGAATTCAGGAAGAGAAACTCACATTGAAATTACTTGAATTACCGTAAATCCACGTGCACACAAGATAGGATACTTTATGATAAATTTAGGGCGTTTCTTACTGTTGTTTGTGAAATCCTAACCCATATCACCTTCTGCATCAGCTCCTGTTTGCTCGAACGATATGGTGTGTCGATTTGTTTTTTATACGGTATATACTTATTAAATGATTATTGGAAAGTTTATAGTTCAAGGTAAACTGAATCATTCACACCTTATGTTAAATGAGCGGTGTGTGTGCGTGTGGATATGTCTTTACTTTCCGCCAAATCCACACACAGTAGCCGTTGATTGAATTTCAATTATGTTCTTTTTTTATTACCGATTTCTGATAAAAAAAATGTTTGATAACTAAAATTCGGGAAGATTCTATAAACTTTGAGCTATCAAAATCCCAATGAATCTGTTATGTCATAAAGTTATGGCTAGTAGTTAATTTAATAGTTGTGATAGCAAAAATAGAAATGTTTGAGTCAATTAAAAATAGTCAATTCATTATTTGACCAGAATTATTAACCCACGCAAGTGTTATCAGTTGATAAGTATTGAAACTGGGTTCCTCAGGTTGTTGCTATTTTAAAATTCTGAACATAGATTATAATCAAATTAAATAATAAAGTATATCGGAAAATAATTCAAGACACCTGTTTAGTGTTAGGGTCAAACTGCAAAAAAAAAAAAATCGAGTCCAGATGTTAAGCTATCGATGTGCGTAATTTTTTATTATTTCTAATTATTACTACATACCTGCTAACTAATTTAAGTTTGCATTCGATTTGATCTTCTTACCAACTTTATAATATTTGATAAGATATGACTCCACAATATGGTGGAAAACTTAACAGGGTGTACAGAGTGTCAGTTCTATTCAACTTTACTATTTGTATGACCTTTTCCAGCAAAATGTTAGAAAGATCACACGACAAACTATCGACTTTAACTGCTGACTTTGTGCCAGTTAAAGTCATCCAGCATAGCCGTATTAAAAACAGACATGGCTTTAAACACAGACATGGCTTTAAACACAGACATGGCTTTAAAACAGACATGGCTTTAAACACCTCAGCGGATTTATAGTCGACGAATAGGTTGAAGATGTCGATGTGTTTTTCGTGGGTCTTTTGGCGCAGATTGAAAATCTGGTGGATTTGCCAGGCCTTAAGCCACATTGGTATGGTCCAATAATGCCATTGACCATTGGCTTCAGTCGTTCACACAGTACGCTGTATGCGATGGGAAGGAGACTTATTCCTCTATAGTTGGCATATATCGTTTTCCCTCCTTTTTAGTGCACGAGACACGGAATGCTGAGGGTCCCATCATTGGACATGCATTCCTCTAGCCAAATTGTACTAATCATGATCAGCATCTGACCACCTGTTTTGAATAGTTCGGCTGGTAATCCATCGGTACCTGCTGCTTTATTATTCTTCAGCCGATTTATTGCTATTCTGACCTCATCTTGGCTAGTTGGTTCTGGGGTATCTTCTTCACCGTTACTCTTTGATACCAGAAGCTTTACGAAATGATCCTTCCAGATCTTTAACACGCTGTCTGTATCTGCCATATTTATATATTATTAGTGAGAAAATTTGAACCCCCATGAGAACGCAAATTTAGTTGAAAAACATGCCCAAAGTCCCAAAAAGGCCGAATAATCTATAGGGCTACCCCGAAACATGGATCAATATCAAATTGAAGCCAATTCGGTTGAAAAACGTTCCCAAGTCCACAAAATGTTGAAAATTGGAGCTATTCTAAAAAGTAGCCCAATATGGATAATCTTTGGTAGGTTAATTTGGTGAATATTTCGAAGTGTTACAAACGGAATGACAAATTTAATATACACTCAACCTTGTAATGGAGGGTATAAACATTTGTTCAACACTTCTTCTCGAATTCAGGAAGAGAAACTCACATTGAAATTACTTGAATTACCCTAAATCCACGTGCACACAAGATAGGATACTTTATGATAAATTTAGGGCGTTTCTTACTGTTTGTGAAATCCTAACCCATATCACCTTCTGCATCAGCTCCTGTTTGCTCGAACGATATGGTGTGTCGACTGCGATCGACGTTAGGGGGTTTTCCAACTCTTATGCGGTCTGAAGTTTCGCTTTCTATTTATAACTATTTTCTTTCATTAGAGGATGGCTATTATTGATGCAAGGCTTTAATTAGCCATTTAATTAAAGTGTTCATCTGATGCTTTGCATTTATATTATCAATCCTTCAATGTGTTTTTGTTTTATTCACTTGTCACTAATCTTCCATGTTTCTATTTCTTTATTTACAGATTGAAAATTCATTTCATGCATATTAAACCCAAGAAGACTGAAGGTAAAAAAGTATTACCCTTACTCTTGTTGCATGGCTGGCCCGGTTCTGTGCGTGAATTCTACGAAATTATTCCCTTGTTGACGACACCCAATGACAAGAGTGATTATGTCTTTGAAGTTGTTGCTCCCAGTTTGCCCGGTTATGGTTGGTCACAAGTATGTTATAAAATTATTTAAAATATATTTAAACATACGCTTAATATTATAAATATATATCTTTTTTAGGCTCCTTCCAAGAAGAACTTTGGTCCAGCTGAAATGTCTGTTGTTATGCGTAATCTTATGTTGCGTTTGGGTCACAACAAATTTGTCATTCAAGGTGGTGACTGGGGCTCCATTGTTGGTTCCAACTTGGCTTCTCTATTCCCTGAAAACACTCTGGCCTACCACTCGAACATGTGTGGCAATATGGCTCCTGCTAGCATGATTAAAATGGTTGCTGCAAACTTCTTACCCAGCTTCTACTATGAAAAACAATATGCCAAATTCTTTAAACCTTTGGGTGATTTCTTCGCCTCCACTATGGAAGAGACTGGTTACATGCATTTGCAAGCCACTAAACCCGATACAATTGGTACTGCTCTCGCCCACAATCCAGTTGGTTTGGCTGCTTACATCATGGAGAAATTCTCCACCTGGACTAATGTTGAATTTAAACATTTACCTGATGGCGGTCTAACCAAACGTTACACACTCGATAGTCTACTCGATAATGTTATGGTCTATTATCTAACCAATTCAATCACCACTTCTCAACGTCTATATGCTGAAGCATTTACCAAGTCCCAAATGGAGCTGCAATTGGATCGTGTCGCTGTTAAGGCACCAACTGGCTGTGCTCGTTTCCTTCACGATTTGTGGCATGCTACCGATTGCCAGTTGAAGGACAAATTCGTGAATTTAGTTCAAAGCACATACTACGAAGATGGTGGCCATTTCGCTGCCATGGAGTTGCCACAAGTATTGTACAATGATTTCATTGAATTTGTTAAGAAAGCTAAGTTATAAATTTTATCGATTTTTTTTAAATTGTAAATTATTTTGTAATTTTGGATGTGATTAAAATATTTCTTATGTAGTTAGTTGGTTAGTTATTTTTTTGGAAGTTTTATACGATTTTTTGTTTTCAATGATCGAAATATATGTTATAAAACAACAACAAAAAAGCATTTTTATTTGATATAGATATATGTCAAGAACCTACTATATAACATGTATAATATATATTTATGTATATACCCATATTTTTAATTTATAATATTTAAAATCTGGACTGTGACTCTAGCAATACCAACGATCAGTGTAGGGTATCCTATGTACTATGGAATAAACCGGTCCAGCAGAAACTCCATAAGCCAAAAAAAGAATAAAACATGAAATGATTCAGGTTCCGCAAACTTTAGATGTTTAGCCTCAATACCAAATGTCGATGAATATATATCTACGTAAGAAGCATAATCAATTTTAACATTTTTATTGAGATAATAATTATTTGAGTTGCCTACTTTTGGGAGTCATTTCTATAAAAACCTCTACTACAGATTTTTAACAAGTTGGCGAAAAACACAATTCTGTTGTTTTCCAAATTTGTTGGTTCAAATAATCTAATTCAGATGAAATCTAACACGGTTCATTTACTTTGACCTACAGAACCTACTCAAAATTTAGAATGGGTGTAGATTAAGATATAGCACCCATATGTCTCCGGACGAATTCACAACATAGATACAATCAAATACAAGCCTTCTGTTTTTGATATGTATTTGTCTTTGTGCCTTTAATACATTTGAAGTTTATTTGAGAATCCCTGCAGTTGGTTTATTTAACGAATGATTAACGAAATGATCAATTACTCAGAATTACAATGCATTACTCGCCAAACTACCACCAATGCGTTTGAGTAAAGAATTTAACATGGCATAAAATTTTACTAACGATTTCACTAATAACATATAGGGTGCGATTTTGCCAGACCGATGAAATCGTTATTCTGGGAATGCCAACTCCTTATTTAGTCTGAAATTTATTCTGTAAAGAGATAAAGTCAATAATGTGAATCAATGGGAATTAAAATATTTTTCATTTATATTACCTATTAGTGTGGCTTATACATTTGCCAGTCCCTTGACACTGTTTTTGTCACAAACCCAATCAATTATTGATGAAATGATTACTACTTTAATTCAATTAGTTTTTCTACTGACGGAATGGAGAATTGTTGATGCAAATCGAATACGTTGTGTTGCTTTTTAAAAAGTTTATTAAAACAACTTCTTGCTCTGCGTAAGATTCTAGTAAGAGTTGCATTTGGTGGCTTTTAACAATCTCTCGGTGTTCGACAGCAGCTGGAAATAGTTAAAAATTTGAAATTATTCAATAGACAAATAAAACAGTCTTCTTACCTTTTAGTTCATTTACTGTTTTAGGTAATTCCTCGCATTTGCAAGTATTTCTGTAGGAAATGAAATTAAATATGAATATTTTAAAACGTTAACAAACTACAGAGCCTTTCTCGTCATGTAAAAATTGTATTATTTTTATTGGTATATAATTGTTTATATAACACACATTATCAGGGTTTTTAGTTGTGTGCAATTGTTGAAAGTATATTTTGTATGCGCGTCATTAAAACCATTTTGAACGGAAGAAACATTAAAATTATCTTCAACAAATCTCCTATAAAGTTGTTCTAGTGTTTGAGTTGGCTTCCTTACATAATTCTTTAAGCCATACAAAAAATTTTCAAATGAATATGATCATCGATGGTTTCACTAGATTCTCTTATCTGGAGAAGATTAGACTATTTGATTCAAAAATAAGCGGAACAATTTCTACAAAAAGATTATGGTGTGATTAAGAAGTTTCAATGTTGGATTTGTATTGCTTTGGACAGCACATCATTCTGTATGCACAATGCAATAAGGGAAATACATAATATGTATACATCATCATGCACATTATCTTTCAGAGCAACAATCTCTGTATAAATCAAGAATTGCCGGCTTTCTAACAAATTCTTGGTGACATTTTTACGCATTTCTTGTAGTTTTTCGGTTATATTTATTATATTACTTTTCGGTATTTTAAAATTGGTTTGGTTATTTAAAAGTCTTTACTAGAATTTCCTAGTTACACCTAAATTTAATGGGTGCATAATGTCTAAATTATTTGTGAGATCATTTTCACCTTAGTTTATTTAAATGCGATTTCTGATTCAAGTACACTTTTGAATAGTGACATGGAAACTTGCATGAACCAAAATCTTCATCAGATATTAGTGTGCCTGATATCGTTGAATATGTCAACACATTATCAATCTTTTTCGCTACTTGTATACATTTTGAAGGAGTACACCTCAGAAGGAGGGCCAGCAATAAACACTCTAGATCTCTGCTCTTAAGTTTACGTGTATATTTTTACTTGCTACATCCACACCGTTCCCAATATATCTAGATAACTCACAAACAAATGTATTTAAGAATTCATTACTGTGACCAGCATAAATACTGACCGGGACATTTAGCTAATTTTTTAAATTATTGACTCTAATTAAAATAGGCCAAAGTTGACTTTTAGAGCTTCTAAATAGAAGTAATCCATCTACATTTCCATCAAAATAATTTGGCTCTGGAAGATCAACTGTTAAAAATATTCAACATAAATGTTTTCATCTCTGAGAATTTGTATAAGATCTAGTTGTCAATAGGTGTGTCTGGTTACTTTTCCAGTAACAGTTCTAGTTCAGAGAGTAAGCCTTGTGTTTGGTCAGAAAACAGCTGATCAGAAAATGGCTGAGTCGCAAAATTTTACTGATACAACCTTTTTACTGGATGTTGTTCGTTTACTTTTTGCAATTTTCTCTCTTGAGAAGGAAAAAATCGTATTTACTCTCTGCAAATTCTTACTGAGTAAATGTTACACTAGCCTTAGGTGGCAATGTATTGATGCAGAAATGCAATACAAATAATTGTGTTCGTCCTTTGTTTGTTGTTTATTTTGGCGCATTAGTAAGATTTAGCAAATAAATCAGCTGTTTATTTGCTAAATCTTACTGAATGTTGTCGGTTTACTTTTTTCAGTATTATCGCAAAAGAGAGTAAAAACGGCTTACTCTCTGAACTAGAACTTACTGAATAAAAGTTACTGGAAAAGTAACCAGACACACCTACTATGAAACACATATCCCACAAAATAGTACATCAGTATTTTCTTAGCTCAATGTGTTTCATGTAACCAATTTGATATTATGCATCGCCATGATGTACCATTTCGCACGGTTCTGAGTTTGTCTCCAAAAAATAAATCAAACAATACATAATGCATCAATTGCACCCACTGTCCTTTATTACTAATGCACAATAGAGTCTGAATTTTAAATAATTTTAAACCAGTGTTGGGCAAAATTAAATTGAGAGCAAGTGTGTGCGAACGTAACTGAGAATTAACCGTTAAAAACGACTGACGTAAAGAGAAAGAAAGAGATAATGTGTTTACCCATCAACCCTCAGTTACGGTAGCGTATATGGCCGAGCATGCCTGTTTTAAACACATTGCTATTATTCTGTACGGCGATGTACTGCTTCTCAATGAATAGCAAATAGCCAAAAGAATTTGATAAGAACAAATCAAATCAACGGACGCACTGGGCCAAACGAATGAGTTGACGGACGAAAGAGGTACACGTATCATAAATAACAAAAACGTCTGCCCACAACAATGGGAATATCTTTGCGGCTGGAACGAGGTACGAAGTGGGCTATGATCGTCTATAGAGATCGTTTATGACTTAATGCACTTATCATACGATAACAATATTCAAGTCTAAATAGATACGTCGTCACTAGTTGTAGTATTGTTTAGGAAAATAGAATCGAACAGCAGCAGATAGCCAAACAAAAACAAATAAACAAGAATAACAATAACAAATACTACAATCCAGCTTATAATGACGATTAGGGTTGTAGTAGCACCGAACCCAATCACTGTGCTATGTTTATTGTTAAACGCTTCAGATGGCAGTTGTCTACAATACCTGGAACATATCGGTGGGACGCTTAGGTAATAAATTTCAACGGACACGTCACTATAACAGGTGATAACAACAATGTCCCCAATTACACGTATCTTGGTCCTTATGCTCGCCATGGGCGGCGGAATGCTCTACAAGAAGTTCTCCGATATCTGGGGCGATGTAGAAGCACCCAAATTACCCTTAAATCAATGGTGGGGTGATGAAGAAGAACCCAAAGACTGGAATGCCTATTTGGCTAATACATCGGAAGTAATTGGCAATCGTCTATTGTATCCCGATACGGTAATAAAATATTATTTTCAAATTAATGGTTCTTTGATATAAATGATTGATTGCGATTTTTGTTTCTAGACTCTGGACGATTTGAGATCACTGCTCAACCAAACATTACACCTGACTGAACCCTTGGAAGATGTCAATTTCGAATACGGTTTTAATTCGAATTTTTTGAAAGAACTTGTTGAATATTGGCGCGATGATTATTTGCCGCGTTGGCGTGAACGTGAAGTTTTCCTATGGCAATTCAATCACTTTACCACCGATATTCAAGGGTAAGAGTAATGTACAAACATGTGTCCACTGTATCTTATCATTATCTGTTGTTGTTGGTTGTATTTTTAACTGTCAATTATAATTTCTTATCACTTGGATTTGTTGTACCCTGTATTAATATTGGAAAATACATTTTTAGGCTACGTATGCATTTCCTTCATTTAATGGTCTACGATGAATACACGGTGAACAGACACCATTATCCAGTTCTCCTGTTGCATGGCTGGCCCAGTTCAGTTCGTGAATTTTATAGTCTAATTCATAAATTACATCAAACGAAAAAGGATAGAAACCAAAAATATATTTTCAATGTCATTGTACCAAGTTTGCCAGGATTTGCTTGGTCACAGGTGAGTTTCGATTTGAATTTACAAATTATACGCAATTAAAAAACAATCGCATCCAAAAAATTATGTGGAAACATTTTTGAATCTTCTAAAAACATTATAGCCAATGCAAATGTTCACAGGAATATTTTGGGAGTAATTTCTTGGATTATTTTTATTAAAAAAATTTAATTTTTTTGTTATTTTTTCATATGTAGTCAAATAAGACGAAATAATATTTGATAGCATTGTCGCCTAGTGTAATACAATATTCCAAATTTTCAATAATATTATATTAGGTTCTGTAAAGATATTGTATTCCCGTCACGCACAGCAATACGTTGCTTATTTTTACAATATTTTTTGCGTATTCTATTTAATATTTGTATGACGTAGTATACAGTGGTGCCTCATTCTACCTGTATATTTCTATAAAATTGGAAATTAACAAATTCAAGGTGTATGGTGTTATATAAACCTGATATAATACCATTCCCTTGGTATTTAATATTTGGAAAACAAAAAGCCAAACTTCCCCAAGTGTCTGATTTTCGTGTCTCGACTGGATCGTGTCCGTCCGACAGTCCATTATTAGTTTATACCACCGTCCGTCCATGTAAAATTGTAGACAAAGTACAGGTCAAATTTATGATCATTTATTTGACTCAAGAACGAACCCTACTGAAATTGGGAAAATCGGTTGAGATTTACATATAGCTCCCATGTTTAGTTTCGTCCGATTTTTAGTAAATGGTACACCAAAGACCCAAAGTCAGGCAAATTGCCGCAATATTTTGCACAACGTACTGATGTTACTATAACATAATTTCTTTCGATTTGTAGGAAATGTAGCAAATTAAGCCTGGAATGATGTGTTTTCTTCCGATGTTGGTCGGTTCACTTATAGATAAATATTATTGATATTGAAGATATAGCCGATTTATTGTGTCAGCATCAAGTGACGGCTGAAGGGCTTCTCAAACTTTAAACGCGTTTTTCTCTAAACATTTTTTGCGAATGGCGGGCACGATAACTCAAAAACTAATAACCCAATCGATTTCAAATTTTTACACGTTTCTCTGTGAGTGTATAGCTATCGTATGAACTAGGATAAAGCCAATCGGTGAAGATCTTCCTTATTTTTTAACTTGGGTTTTGGTAAAAAAATCGGCGATTTTCCAAAAATATTTTTTAAAGGTCCACCATTTTGTTAATTTTAGAGCGAAGTCAATAATCCTAGTTCATACGAGAGCCAGACATGTACTCCTTCTAACACCGTTGGAATTTTCGGATTCCGATGTTCCAGTGAGGAGTTATCGTGCCCGCCATCAAAAATAAGGACTTTTCTTTAATTACAAAAAACAACAACAAAACATTTTTGTAAATTCTTTTTCTTCTATTTTAAATCTTTAAAGTTACAAACTTTAACAAGCATTGGTATTGATTTACCAGCCCATTGAAAATCTTGAAAAATTAAAATCGTGAATGGGAGGGGGTTCCCTTAAGTTCGTTCAATCTCATTCCTATGTTCCCTCGAAATGGCAACGTCTATTAGGATACATATGTAAGATATATCATAGTGGTGAATGGTATCATATAGACGGACCTGGGACTACTACTTTCCTTTAACGGCATATACATTAGAACTTTTTACCGGGTTATGCAAAGGAATTGACAATTGAAACCCACTGGGTTAACTAAATCCATTAAATGTAAACGTACTATTACTGGTTTTTTATTCATCACTTGAAAGTATTAACATGTTAATTACTATTAAAAACAATTACTGCAATTGCAAATGATTTATGTTAATAAATGACAGATTATTTAATAAAACTATTTCAACAATATGTAAATATCTATCATGGTGCAATCATATAAAGTAGTATACAACAACTTACATATACAAAATGTGTGAATACATGTGTAATGTTTTCAAAAATATAAAAAAAAATATTTTTTCAATTTAAATGGTTTGAAAGTGCATTTTGCACTTAGGGAAGAAGCTATACTACCTTGTATAATTGTACCATGAGCTGCTGTAACCCATTTTATTTTATTTGGAATTTCTTATTTAAGAACATATTTTTTAATTATTTGTTTTTTTTTATTTTTAGGGCACCTCAAAACGTGGTCTTGGCCCAGCACAAATTGCAGTCATGATGAGAAATCTAATGTTACGTCTGGGATATAAGAAATTCTTTATTCAAGGCACTGATTGGGGTTCTATAATCGGGTCACACATTGCTACACTATTCCCTGAAAATGTTCTTGGCTACCACTCTAACATGTGTACCGTCTCGAGTCCCAAATCAATGATTAAAGGTCTAATAGCTGGTTCTTTCCCTGGCATCTTTGCACCTAAAGGATATGAAGACTTCTTTTCTCCGGTATCGGAAAAAATACACTTTCTCCTAGAAGAAACAGGTTATGCTCATTTACATTCAACAAAACCCGATACAATTGGTACCGCCTTACATGACAATCCAGTTGGTTTAGCGGCCTATATACTTGAAAAATTCTCAACATGGACAAATGCTACCTATCGTCATCTGCCCGATGGCGGACTTAAGAAACGTTATAAATTGGATGCCCTACTGGATAATGTTATGATTTATTATCTAACAAACTCGATTACGACATCGATGCGCATTTACAAAGAAGCAGTAACGGAGGAACAACGGGCTCTAAAACTGGATCGTGTTCCCACGAATGTACCGACAGCATGTGCCCGCTTCAAAAACGAAATGATGCATTTCATGGATCTGCAGCTGAAGGATAAATATAAAAATTTAATACAAAGTACCTACTACAAGGAGGGTGGTCATTTTGCTGCCATGGAAGTGTCTGATATTGTCTATAAAGATTTTATAGAATTTGTTAAAAAAGTAGAAAAAATTAAGAAAATTACTGGATACAAAAGAGAATTGTAAAATAATTACATATTAAATTACTTAATTGTCTTTTTTGTTCCACGAATTTTTTAATATAAAGGAATTATTTTTTTTTTAATTTAAAAATGTTTTTTTTCACTATATTACAATGCCCCAAGTTGGACTGCGAAAGAGAAGTTATTATGATTCTTAATGATTTTGAAGCTCTGTTTGCCAAAAAAAACTCTAGTAGTCGATTTGTATAATCCTCCCTGGATACCAATAATTTATCATTAAAGAAATTTAGCAATGCAAGAAAAATATGACAATATTGCAATATTCTTCTGGTGTAAATAAAACGTTCGACTAAAAATCTTTTAAAATCCAAATAAAAAGACAACAATTTTTCTCTTTAAATAAAAAAATTCTTACCACAACTCAACTACTGTCCTAAAATACCACAATAGCATCAGTAGTAAAATTAATTTATGGTGTGTCATACGTCGACAAATCATCATTCTGTGCAATTCGCATTGAATAAAAACCACAGATCAATATATGCACAGTCATTAGACCCGATGTAATATTTTATTCAGATTACATAATAATAGCTGTGTCTGGTTACTTTTCCTGTAACATCCATTAAGATTTTTGCGAAATATCTCGTAATTTAATTTAAAATTCTCGAAATGTTCTTTTAAAATTAAAGATTGATTAAAATACATCGAATTGTGCTGGATAACACATTTCTCGATGACGTTATCTTTGACGGTTTCAGGAATTTGAAGCCATATTAAATCTACAAAAAATGTTCATATTTGTTGGGTACATGCAAACTATAATATAAATGGAATTGAAAACGCAGATGTCTAAGGACATTAATGGAATAAGATTAATATTTTTGCTCTATCGCTGGGTAAAAAATTCTCACATAGTCGCCTAAATCAAGTAATTATGGCTTTGGATGAGGACGGATAGGATAAAAGAGAAAATTTGTTCACTTTCTTGTTCGCAAAATATACAATAAACAAATGAATTCGTTCTCATTTATTTTAATTCTTATTCATAAACTAGAAAACCGATATAATAAAACTTTTGATGTGTGACCCTCGGTGTTACTATATTCTTCATAATTCAAATACATGAGGATCGCAACTTAAATCAACAATATTCACATATCACAGAAAAAATGTAAAATATATAAAATTAACTGGTATACGGAGCTTAAAGCGCATAATATATATACTGGTGGCCAAAACTAAACCAACTAAAATTGCAAACTGAATAAATGTACTGAAACTTTTTTTAATAACTTTATAGTGAAAGTTTTTCAGAAATAAATAGGTAATTTTTTCACTTATAAAAAACAAAAACACTAAATACAACATTTATTTTGAAATAAAAAATGTTCTATAGAAAACTAAATTGACCCAATTTGTGCTGGGTCAAAACTAATTCAACTTTTTATTATTATTTTTTTCTTTTAAATAAGTAAATTTAGCTAGTAATCGACATCAGCTCTATCTGTTTACTCGGTATTTGGTAACAATTGTTACCAAATATTACTAAATGTTGTCTGTTTACAAAAAACTCCAGTAAAAGAGAGTCAAATGAGAGAGCAAGTTTGACAGTTCAACAACAACAAACTTACTGGAGTTTACTGAAAGAATTTTATTCAGTAAGATTTTGCAAACTGAAAGAATTTTATTCAGTAAGATTTTGCAAACTCAGCCAATTTCGGAACAGTTGTTTTATGACCAAACACAAAAATTATTCAAAACATTTTTTTTTAATTTGCAAAGTTCAATTTGAAGTTAAGTTGTATAAAAATTGCTGTATTTGGAAGAAAAGTAGTAATGCAAAGTTTCATTAAATTAGAAACTAATTCCTTATATATTTTTAGGCAGGTTTCAGGTAGAGGGCAATGATTGGTACCTATCGTAACCATTTTATTTTGATTACGGCACTTATTATTCCTCTCATCTTAAACCTTTGGGAATAGGTTATGTTTGTTCGTTAGTGAATCCCTTTTGATTTTGCTATATATAATGCTCTAATGATTTTTCTATAGGGTAAATATTTGATGATTGTGTTGGCCTGATTTTTGACTACCGTAACCAACCTTTACATGTTATGGTGTACATATATTTGGAGGTTACTGACAATCTGAAACACCCAAACCAGCGGAGGGAGCCAAAGTGTTTCCAAGCACATTTGTATAAACAATCCGATGCATTACTTCACAAATCTCGTAAAAAGATCGAATTCCATAGAAAGAAAAAAGCCCAATACCATTAGTGACCATTCTCCATGCTACTCAGTACCCTTGCAATACTGTGGCATGAGCCTTTCATTTTTGGACTTTCTCACGGTAATTTATTTTATGTCTGAGTACTTAATATTTAACTTTTATTCATCCGAGAGCATAATATTTCTCCACTGTGTCGAATTCCAATTAATACATATGAGCTTTTACGAAAGGCAATCTGGTTTTCGCTTATTTTCAGAATAAAATAACTTTATTAATAGTTTCAGGGCATGTAGTCCTGCTATCATATCTGTTGAAGTTATATCCAACGATAATCGTCACTAAAATTCCGTTGAACTCTTAAATGGGTATTTTTACTACTATGACAATTTGTTGATCAGTACGAACTGACGTCCTTTTGCGACTTCGTTCTGAACTGCCAATACTGATATTTCATAAAACCGACTTATAAATTGGGAAATTACTGATTTATTCATGAAATATTTCTCCGACATCATTTTCTGTGATAAATTATAGAAATGGGTGTAGAAAGCAAAACATAGTAATTATAACGGTTAAAATAACTACAATTTTAGAAATCATCTGTTTGTACTGTAGAGTTGCTTAAGTATTGTCCAAGCGAAAATTGAGGCAATTCCCTTATCCATAAAAATTACACTGTGCAACACAAAAAATAATTACAGGGAAATTCCAACAGATTATGAAAGAGGGACTAAAAAAAGAAGACACGTGTATCGGCGTTTTGAAAGTTTACGTCGGGAGGTAACATAAAAAGTGGGGGCAATATTCCCCCTTTTCAAGAATTTTAATAATTTTCGAATTATGATTTCTTGAAATCCTTGCATTTTAGGTATATAGTGTCTTCGGCAATATTACTGACAAAATATCGAGAAATATTTTGGTATGCATCTTTAACCCTCAACCGACTCATTAAAGGGGTCTTTTCGGTCCCCTTTTCCAGGAGTGATTGAAAACTCATTCAAAACGGGATTAAAACTGCTCAAAATGCTCATATTACTTCAATGCACTTAGTCGAAAAAATACTGGGAAATGTCTTTGACAAAAAAATACTAGAATATTTTGAATTTTTGGTTCAAAATGTATGACTATATATTCGGTATATACATTATATATACAGATTTCTCTTGTTCAGTGACTTATGCTGAAAATTGATGGAGAATATTTTTGTCCCTTATAATATCCTTCTAAAACGACATCTTGTGGGAAAAATGTTTAAAATCTAGTAATAAGTACGATATTAACCCTAAAATGAGTTTTTGTTTTTTAAGATTTTTGACGTTTAGGCTGATTTTTGAGTTTTAGTCTATTCTGAGACTTATAGTAAAACTTTATGGCGAACATTTCTGTAGAATATTCTGAGCAGCTTTAACCCCGTTTTGGAAAAGGGGACCGAAAAGACCCCTTTAATGAGTCGGTTGAGGGTTAAAGATGCATACCAAAATATTCCTCGATATTTTGTCAGTAATATTGCCGAAAACACTATATACCTAAAATGCAAGGATTTCAAGAAATCATAATTCGAAAATTATTAAAATTCTTGAAAAGGGGGAATATTGCCCCCACTTTTTAGGTTACCTCCCGACGAAAATTTTCTAAATGCCGATACACGTATCTTCTTTTTTTAGCCCCTATTTCATAATCTGTTGGAATTTCCCGGTAATTATCTAAAAAAATCAAATTTGACGCACAGTGTTATTATTTCAAAATGAATTATGCATTATTGATTTTGTTGTTTTTTTTTTTAAGTGAATAAGTTACCCGATTTAAAACTGAAAAAACCAACACGATATCTTTATTTTTGAAAAATTTATGCGGCATTTATTAACCTTGCAATTTTAGTTGCTTTAGTTTTAAAAAAAATTAAGTGTAATAAAATTCGTTGAAATAGTTTTACCAAGGATACTAACCTCCATATGATATTATATCTTTCTTATATGTATATTTACTACTGATATTTCTTTACATTCCAAGGTGTCAAGTTTAATTTTAAACTTTAAAATGAATTTTGTACTTAATAACCTTTTTTGAGTCGTGACACTTTTTCAGCAATATCTACTAATATTCCAAAAGAGGTTTCCTAATTGAATTCGTACTTAAAACAAAACTTACTGGAGAAAGATTTAGTTCACACAATTCAAAGTATCAGAGTATTAAGATGTCGATCATCCCTTTTATATACATACATAAAATGTCGCCACCACTGTGCTTCTTTACTTGTCTGTTTTATTATCCTCTCGTTGTTCAGATTTTTTTGCATTGTTTTTTTTCGCAAATATTGTAGTAATCACAAACACCCATCTCTGCAGTGAGAATCCTAAGAATAGCGCCATACAAAAGGAACATAAATACATACAAACGAACGAACAATGAGAGGAAAAGAAGAGTTGCAGTACACACCAACAAAACCGACAAACAAAAACAGAATTCATATCGATCAAAGTAGGAGACATAAGCATCTCGCAAATCAGTCACTCAGCTGCAGGCACATTTTTGCATACCTTTTTACATAACACATTAATCGTGATACCGTTATATATCGTTTGATCATCATTGTCGTTCCATAATCCATCACTCATCGTAATCTAAATTTTCGTTTAACCACAAAACAAATTTAGATCGAAAATCTCCTCGTAAACATGCACAAAACCGAATTTAAACCAACAGTGGCCCTTACAAGCGCCACAGTCGATAAAATGTCTCGTCATGATATGCTGGAGTGGGTTAACAGTACAGTCCATGGCCAACACAAAAAAATCGAAGAGCTGTGCTCTGGTGGGTATTGCCAATTACGTGTAGATTTGTTAGCATGCGCTCATCACTATGCATGATTAATTGTTTCCTTTTATATCTCCTTAGGTGTGGCCTACTGTCAGATGATGGAATTATTATTTCCCAATTGCATTGGCTTGAAGCGAATCAAAACAACAGCCAAATTGGAACATGAATTTCTCTACAATTTAAAACTATTCCAAGCAGCATTTATAAAGCTAAATTTCGATAAATCCGTTCCCATAGATCGTCTGATTAAAGGGAAATTCCAGGATAATTTCGAATTCTTACAATGGTTCAAAAAGTTTTTCGATACTCATTCGGCGGGTAAGGAAAATTTGAGAGTTCCAGCTGCCATGGCTGCTGCAGCACAGAATGCCCCAAAACCTATTAAGAAGCCGGGCAATCAAACATTAGGCACAGCAAAAACGCCAGCAGCAAAGCCAGACATGCTGAAAACTCCCAAAGGAACACAACAACATGGCGAACGTCAAGTGTCGCCGTCAACAATACGCACCCTGCAGGAGACACAAGAACAACTGGCCGAACAAATATTGGGTGTTGAACACGAAAGGGATACGTATTATAAAAAGTTGGCTGAAATTGAAGTTATGTGAGTAAATAATGATTCGGCCTATTGTTTTCGATAATGGGCTAACTTGTAGTTATATTGCATTCGTATATAGATACGTAATATTAGCATAATAGTTTAAGCATGCACAGCTGTCAGTGTTTCATTAATTACATTTTGACGTCGCTCTGTTACATTTTCTGCGAAATAAAGGGCTAAACCAAAATTATATTACATTCGTAAAGAGGAACACTGCAGGGTTTATCCCTTTTCCATATTGACGTCATTTCTTCTCGGTATAGGTATATTTTATAATAATTACATACACTTTTTCTTCTAATGTTTGTTACTTCAGATCGTTTTGTAATTTCCGGATAAATATAATACTTCACGAAGGATATTCGAGCCAATAGCTCGCTTCATCACCCATTGATTTTGTTTCCGAGTAATTACTCTCTTTGTGATCTTTATGAAATGGATTTGGCTTCATCACTTTGTATTTTAATACTTATTCTCATATATCATTCTCATTTACAGTGCTATTTAGAAAGTTATCGTGGAATGTTGAAGGAAGTGTTTTAGGGTAATCCAATCGTTTCCTCCTAAACGTATTATCCAATTTCTATGACCTAATTTTACTTTGATTTTATATACTTTGTTTCTCACACTTATTGCAATAGTTGTTAGACATATAAGAACTTTTTTAGTTATGCCCAGTATCCAATCACAATATACTTTGAACATAATTTTACTAAATATTCGATTCTCCTGAGACTCCAAAGATAACTTTATTATATTTAAATTACAAATTCTCATGATTATAATGTGCCTTTTTAAAAACCAACGATATGGGTTTTAAATATCTATGTTTTTCTCTATTTATAGCCTCAACGAGTCAGTGCAGAATAATATCTACGTTGAGTGGTGTAATCGTGCCTTGACCATACTTTACGCAACAGATGATACTCCCCCGACAGCGGTCGATGATCTTGCGGAAGAAATTATGCCAGGTTTATCATTAGAAACTGATATATGAATTCTTCTTTTATATTTATTTCTTTTTTCACCTTTCATAATTTGTATTAAATAAATGTTATGTTGATAAAATATAAAATAAAATAATATGTAACAAAAAATGCGTATCAATCAGCATCATTATCCGAATGTTGTGATGACGACGAGGATGGGGAATTTGAGCTGGCATAATCACATACTAAGGCTAAACTTTTGGGTAAATCAACTAATACCGGATCGGACTTTTCTTGACAGATAGTTGTATCTTTTTCTGTTATATCTTTCATATCATCGTTTTCATTTATTTCAGGCCGACTTTCATCAACCAATACCGAATCAGATTTTTCACGACAAATTGTTTCATCCTCTTCATGTATATCTTTCGTAGTTGATTTTGGTATTTTTTCAGACCCACTTTCATCTTCTAATTTGCTTGTTTGAGTTTCGGATGAGGTAAGCTTTCTTTTTATACCCAATTGTTCGTATTGCAACTGGGAATTTAATGCTTTTTGTCTTTTTAAACCACCGAAGGTGGTTTGTGTGGCACTAGGTAAGGCAGGTTTCATTAGAATGTCTAGACGTCTTTCTTCTTCACGTTCATAAGCAGATTTACTTTGTAGTTTCATTAGAGAAGCCATTTGACGATCTTGTTGGGATTCGGGTAACAAATCAATTTCTAAACTGCTTTTCGCCAAAAGTTTATCATCAATTTCCTTAAGAGCTTTCAGTTCCTTTTTCTTGTTCTGCAATGATAAAAATTAGTTACATAACATTAAACGTTTTTTTTACAATTGAATTTGAGTACATACCCTAAACTCAGATCTTAATTTGCAGTTTGCTTCGTAGCAATCATTCCACAGAGTCTTATTGCGATCGATCAATTTCTCCAATATTGGCTTGGCCTTTTCCCCCGCAACTATATCCTTCGCCTGGTGTTCCAATTTGTACATGGCATCGTCAAATAAACGTTTTTGTACTTCTTTGGTTTCCGGCACTACTTGTTCATTTTGTGTTGGATCCCAGCGATTCTCTTGTCTACGTGCTCCCGATAATATCACATAATCTAAGTTGCCAGGATCTGTTTGTATTTCAAAGTGATTGTCGCACAAATGACACTTCATGCGAAATTTGTAAATTGGTGTGGAATAGTACATGCCGACTTTGGTCTTTTCAGCATTGTATCTCACACCCATTCCAATGTGATTTTTACAGCCATCACACCAAATGTTATAGGGCATCTCAAAACGAATTATGATGATGCCCAGATGAATTTTACGAGCTCGTTCCCGTAAGGCATGAGTGCCCTGGAATTTATTAAGACCACCTTTTCGTGGATCATAATCCGGTGGATAATATTTATTCTGGCCTTTACGTTCACCCATCTTTACAAATGTTTTAGGAACTTTCTTCTTTTAAAATTAATCCGCACTCTGTTTATCTGAAAAATAGGTATTTTTTTTTTTAAATTTTTGCAAAATCATTTTAAGTTCAAAGTACACAAAATACCTATAAAGATATGTGATATATGGTCCCTATCCCAGTTTCATTGTAAGGTTTGGTATGGAGCTGTGCTATTTATAACATGTTTAAATGCAATGAATGTGTTCCTCTTCTTATTTCTGGTACAACTAATCCAACGACAGAACCTGACAGTTTATATATAGACTTTTTGAAAATATATTTTTCAGATAGCTTCCAAAAGCTATGAAAGATTCTACCAGATTCTGGATAAACTCTTACAGACTGTCATACCTTGTCCAAATCTTTGATTTGGACGAAAATTGCATATTAGTTTCAACTACACGGCTCACGTCTTACCAATATTCTCTTAAGATCGAAATTTTTATAATTATATTTATTTATTACATACCAATAACAGGACATATCCAAGAGATTTATTCTAGTTATTCCCGACACCACACCAAGATGCAAATCAAAACAAACGAAATAGTTCAAATGTACTATTCACTGAATGGACTTGTGAGGTATAGTATCGATATTCTAACTATCGATGTATAATTCCATGTTTACACATACCATTTTTAATAAAATAAAATTTTACAATCATCTGTTCCGTGCTGCAGGAATCTATTACTTTTTACTACGATAACAAATTTTCTTTTTGAAATCAAATAAAAGTAAAAACTAGTACATTCTTGCAATCCGGGAACAGGTCAAACAGGATTGTCAGTCAACTTTCACTCATTTATTCGCTCTCAGAATTACGTACATGAATTAACCCGTCCATACAACACTATTCTTAATTCATGTAAACTAAAACATAACTTAAAATTCAACTTATCGATTTACATAGACTATTGGTCTCTTCCAGAACCTGCAACAATGCATGGTATAATTATTACAAGGTATTACAAGATTACAATAGTAATATGTGTGTGTACTGTTTTGAATGGAGTTCTTCTTCTTATTTGAAATGAAAATGATGTTTTTAACACGTTCGTCTGGAAGTAATTACTTTGTTATGGATGAAACAAACATTTAATGGTATTCCCTACTGGATTTTGGGAAGAAATCATAAACTTTCATTCATTTTTTCCGTTTTTAATTTTGTGTTGAAAAAATGTCAAATAAACACAAACACTTGTTGGGTATATTTATTTTATATTTGGCAGAAGAAGCCACAGGTGCATAGTTGTTTTTTTGTTATTCACCTCAAGCTGCCCTACCTTGTATTAATGTACCATGCAATAATGTACAATTGTTCACTACGATACCAATTTTTCCTTTGTGATATTGAAGAAAATATTCAAAATTAGTAGAATATTGCAGTACGGGATATGGTATGTATACACTTTGAGGTGCGTTAAGATTTACGAAATCCACTCGTTCTCAAATGTCAATTCCATAGCGTATACGTCAAATATAATTCACTGGATTTGTGAAATGGACTAATGTGACGTATATGCAATGGAATTGACGTTTGAGTTGGAGTGTATTCCGACAACAATTTAAACAATTTTTCAGGGCGATTAAAATGCAAACTATACTACTCGATGTTACAATGATATCCATGACATAATTATACAAGGTAGTCTCATGCAGTCATATGTTTCCAATTTTTTCATAAATTTGCCTTTGACAGAATTCAGCTTTCAAAATTTAAATGAAAATATCTTCCTTCTTATTAGTTCAGTGGCATAAATTGCTAAATAATTTATATTTATAAATATTTTGAGGTTCCCTGCCTCTAAAACGTAATAATATAATTTGTAGCAATCATGGTTAAATCTTGGGAGCAATGTTCAGCTTTAGAAAATATATTTATTGAAAATTTGCCAATCGACATCCATCTACTTTTATGGAATTTATTTTTCATTGATATATGAATTCCAAATTTAAAAGAGTTGCCATCATCAAATTCTCAAATGAGACTACCTGCTCTAATTTTGCAATGAATGATATCTTATAAAGTATTAATAAAAAATATATATTTTTTTGAATTTTTGGCAAGTGAAGTTTTTTTTCTTCTCGACGTTCCCACGCCTCTCATTCCCACCCCTGCCGACCGAGGGGGCGACCTCGCCTTACGTAGGGATCGCGTACACACCATGATTCATAATGGGATTTGAGAGTGGAATAGAAAACCCAGCTACAGAATCTTCTTCAACATCCAGTTTGTTATTAAGTTTTAAATCTCATTTAAAAATACAATAATATTAGATTTTATTTGTTCTACGCTCAAGCAAAAATCTACATTAGAGTATACAGAGTTAAAGTCAATACACATTTTACTAAGAGTAATTCGTGCGGTGGAAGTCTACATATAACAGTTGATAGTGTCTACTAGATCGGACAGGAACATTTATTCTAATAGAAGAAATTAGGAAATCCGAATATTTTTAGTACCATCATAGTATTCAACATAATACGTCTACTTTTCAATGTAGGCAAACGAATTAATTTTAACCTGCTGGTATAAGATGGCAACAGAAAACTACTATTCCAATGTAATCCTCTCAGTGCAAAAAGTAAAAATTGTTTCTGCACGGTTTCGATTTTATCAGAATATATTGCATATTGGGGATCCCATACAACAGAACCATACTCTAAAATAGGTCTAACGAGAGACGTAAATAGTTGTTTCGTTATATATGGATTCGAGAATTCTTTGGCCCACCGTTTTATAAATCCTAAGACACCATAGGCTTTATTTATCATAGATATAACATGATTGTTAAAATTTAGTTTTGGATCCATTAGAAGGCCAAGATCAACGAAAGAATCTAGGGTTGATAAAACCGATCCATTAATATAGTAATGCCTTATCGAAGAAGAATTCCTAGAAAAAACACATATGTTTACATTTATTTAAATTCAAGTCCATACAATTTAGGCTGCACCATTGAAATAGGCTATTTAAATCATGCTGGAGTTAACCAGCTTGCTTTTCAGAATGATGGGTAATGAACAACTTGACATCATCTGCATACATTAGCAATTTGGAATGCGATACAGAATTTGGCAAATCATTTACAAACAATAGAAACAGAATTGGGCCTAGGTGACTTCCCTGCGGAACACCTGATGGAACATTAATCGATTTTGAAAGACATCCCTAAAACAAAACTATATGTGTCCTATTTTGTAAGTAAGATGAAATCCAATTTACCAAAATTATACTAAAGCCAATATGATTTAATTTATAAAGTAGAAGTTCATGGTTAACCCTATCAAAAGCTTTACTAAAGTCTGTATAAATTGTATCAGTTTGTTTACGTTGAACAAATCCCTTTATCACAGTAGAAGTAAAGTGTATAAGATTGGTAATAGTTGAAACACCACTACGAAAACTATGTTGATATGGACTTAACAAGGGCTGAATTCTGTGTGAAATAACTGTAGTAATTAACTTTTCGAACAATTTTGGAACAACACTTAATTTTGCAATTCCTCTATAATTCGAGACATTTGGTAGACTACCAGACTTGTGTAAGGGTATTATATAAGACTTCTTCCAACAAGTAGGAACATAACCATATTTAAGGGAATAATTAAATAATAACGTTAGAGGTAATGCTAATGTATCTGAACAATTTAGAATTATGCTGGGTATACCATCAGGGCCTGGACATTTAATAGGTTTTAAACTACGTAGATTTTTAGAGACCTCTCGACTTTGTAAGAAGGGCATAAATATTTGATCTATCTTTGATAGTTCATAAGGATATGGGTCTTTAACCTGATAAGTAGTATGTATTATAATAAGTCGTGGCAAAAAAATTAGCAAAACATTCTGCAATTTCGGAGTTTTTCGAAAATTCTTGGTTATTGTATTTTAAAATTGTAGGCTTAGAAGATTTTAGATTAACAAATTCATAAAATGATTTTGGGTTGGATTTAAAATTATCCTTAATCTTGTTAAGATAAAGATTATACAACCTTCGGGATTCTATTGTATATTTTGATCAAGCAACTGAATAGTTAGCATAGTCTATAGAGGATCCTGATTTTTTATATTTTTTAAAAAGTTTATTTTTTGAGTTTTTTATACTTGACAATTCGTGTGTATTCCATGGATGTCTATCAGAGCTTCTAGTTCTAACAGTAGGAACACATTCAGAAATAAATTTGTTTAGAGTAACATAAAATGTATCTATTGTAAACTCGAAATCAATAGGACTCTTACAAAGGCAAATAGAGGTCCAATTTACAAATGAGATAAGTGAGTTGAGTTTGGAAAAGTTCGCTTTTTTATAGTTAAAAGTAGTTTTTAATGAGTTTAACGAATTGTCTGAAATTAAATAATCATATATCATGGATATACATAAAGTTGGGTGTTAATTATCTTCAGGAATACAAATAGGAGGTATCCTTACCAATTCAAAATATGGTGTATGATTTACGAAGACTTGGTCAAGGATTTTCTCATGATTATTTACTATATTATTTATTTGTTGGAGATTAATGTCACAAAATCGAATAATAATTTCAGAAGTAAATTGATTTAAATTTATATCAGATGTCAATGGAGTAAGAGCTTCTGACTCTGGCAATGAAAGCCACTTCACAGATGGCATATTAAAATCGCCAAGAACTAATATTCGGTCCGAATCATTCATTTTATTAATTATGGATTGTATTGATAATATATGTTGATTATAGATATCAAGCTGCGATGAAGGAGGAATATATGAACAAGTGACGAATAATTTAAATTTACCCAATTCAATGGATATGCCGACAAATTCTATATCAGTTAAATGATTTAATTGTATTACATTAGTGGAATATTTGGCGTCTACTGCGATGAGGACACCACCACCCCTTTTATTTATCCGATCTTTTCTAAAAATTTGATATTTTGAACTTAGAATTTCACTATTAAGCACAGATATTTTAAGCAAAGTTTCAGAAAATACTATAATATTATAATCAAAACCATGGCTATCAGTATATAAACGAGTTAACTTTGTATATAACCCTCTTACATTCTGGTAGCAAATAGTAAGAAAATTATTTAGTTTTTTGAAGCCGTTTCTGGTTTACGAGGCAATCGAGCCAAATTTTCTGTCCTTTCAAGAAATTCTTTTACGAATGCTCTAGCAGGCCAAAAATCTCTCGAGATCAACTTTGTAAATATATCTTCATGCACTAATATTTTAAATGAAGACCTACTCTCTCAATATACTGATCGAAGCTTAAAGCAGTGTTCGCAAAAAAACGGTACACTATCGTAGTGTACCGCACCAGGAACACAAACACTAAAAAAATTTTAGCGTTAGTGTTCCGGTACACAAACATTAAAAAATATTTTAGTGTTACTGTTCCGGAGCACAACGAAATTCGTAGTGTACCGCTGTCGGAGCACTAAAAATCGTAGTGTACCGCGGTCGGAACACTAAAAAATTGTAGCGTTTCATTTGGCGGAACACTAAAAATCGTAGTGTTTCATTTGGCGGAACACTAAAAATCGTAGTGATCCACTTGGCGGAACACTTAAAATTATAGGTGTCCATTTGTCGGAAAACAAAATGATGTATTTATCTTTTATTTTTGTATGAATAAAATTTATATTTTTATATTTGTATTTGTTTATATTTTATTAAAAAATAGTAATATTATATTAACATCAACAGTTTAACATAATAAATATTTTGTAACTAAAAAGGGCGTCTAGTGACGGCCAACTCATAACTGAAAGTTCCATTGAATTGCATTTTGGGATATAATCGATTGCGCTGATCGGAAATATGAAAATGGTACCTGTATGTGGTCTTGTAATATTTATCCCAAAATCATAAAACTACTTTTTTCATATCCGCGTAACTTGTACACTTCTTTTCATGAATAAGCAGGTAATAATTATGTTTATTGTGTGCCAATCACCAAATTTTGAATATTTTTGATAAAATTTCCTAAAAGAATGAATCATAGATGCAGGTATAATTTTTTTAAGAAAAAATTTTCATACTAACATTTTACAAGGAGATCTCCTAATTTTATGGGAAAAATCGTGTTCGTTCTGTAAATTAATGAAAATGTTATCCAAAGCTGTATAATTTTGTCACAAAAACTGGCCAAAATACCTACATTTTGTAATTGTAAATAAAGTTATATTCATTTTTATTTTTTTATTATTTGATCTCATTTTACCTCAAAAAACAAAACAGACGTGTATGGTACACTACCAGTACAGTTCAAGTAAGTGGAACGCTACGATTTGTATTGTTCCGACCAGTGGAACACTACGATTTTTAGTGCTCCGAACAGTGGAACACTAAAAATTTTAGTGTTCCGACCAGTGGAACACAACGATTTTTAATGTACCGCAGTCGGTACACTACGCTTTTTTAGTGTACCACTGCCGGTACACTACGATTTTTAGTGTACCGCTGTCGGTACACTACGATTTTTTAGTGTACCGCAGTTGGTACGCTAAGAATTTCGTTGTGCTCCGGAACAGTAACGCTAAAAATATTTTTAGTGTTTGTGTACCGGTACAGTACGTTATTTTAGTTTACCTATCCACCTTGGTACGGTACAGAACACTAAGGAACGGTACCATAATGTTTATTTTCGAACGCTGGCTTAAAGCATCGTAAAAAGTAACTTCCCTCAATTTTTGATTTAATATAATAATTTATATCATCAGCCGTACTATCCTGTGCAAACCTAGATACAAATACCATTTATAATGGCAATTTGGAACTCTTCTATAAATTTCAAATTGTTTGAAAAATAAATTCCATAAAATTTTATGTATGTCGATTGGCATTTAAAAAAAATAAAAATGTATATTTTTTTAAGATTTTAAGTATTTTAAGATGGTCAATTCTATTCATAATTGCATAATTTAATGCACATTGTTATTCAGCTATATCTGCAGATGATACAACTTATATTAAACTGTTTGTAATTATTGCCACTGAGCCCGAATTGTGAGTACATTCCGAAGGAGGATATTTTCATTTAAATTTTGAAAGCTGAATGTTGTCAAATGCAAATTTATGAAAAAATTGGAAACATGAATTATGAAAAATTGGAATTATATATATATATATATGTTGATCATATTCCCAATAATCTATAAATGGCCACACCATGACACAATAAATAGGTAGTCCATTTAGAGCAGCTGGTGTCTTGATTTACTGTCAAAGTGCGTAATTTCTACTTGAATTCGATGTGCAATGCTGCCAAATTTTTGAAATATAAGGACAAATTTGACAGATGATCGAGACAAAAACAAAGTTTTTTTGTTGTTATACATCAACTTATTATTGCATCATGGGCCACATCATGGCACAATAAATAGTTAGTGCATTTAGCGCAGCTGATGTCTCGATTAACTGTCAAAGTGCGTAGTTTCTACTTGTATTCGATGTGCATTGTTGCCAACCGTGTGAAATGTTATATGGAAAAATTTCACAGATGGTCGAGACAAAAACAAAGGTTTTTTTGTGATACATCACCTTATTATTGCATCATGGGCCACACCATGGCGCAATAATTAGGTAGTCTATTTAGCGCAGCTGATGTCTCGATTAACTGTCAAAGTCTACTTGCAATGGATGTGCAATGTTACCAACCATGTAAAATATTATATGAACAAATTTGACAGAAGGTCGAGACAAAAACAAAGGTTTTTATTATTGCATCATGGGCCACACTATAAAACAAGCTAAATTTTGGCATGAGTGTCATTAAAAAGCGAATTGAACTAGCTGCACTTAATGAACTAGAGCGAAATGAACTAAAGGAACTAGATAAACGAATGAACTGGTAGTTGTTCCGATCGTTCATTTCATGAAGTCATTACTAGTTCGTTTCAGAACGGCACAACTCTAGAGAACCTGTGTCTAATTGGCAGAAAAAAATATTTGTGCTACGAATAATTAACCCTTTTTGCCACGTTCTTTGCTGAATTAAACCTCTGAATTAAGTTGATTTTGGTATTTGGAACATCATTTCAACATGAAAATCTACACAAATGAAGGGAATCCCTTTGGCCTTAAACTGCAACTTTTAGCCAAGTTCGCAAAACGTGAGGTGGTTGTGGAAAAAGTTAACCTAAATGGTGTGTATTGAAAAGGGGAGCATTTTACATTCGTTGCAGGGGGGAAGTGTTTACATTTTATTACTATGGCATTTCGAGCCGGGGGAATTAATTCAGAATTCGAAGAATTTATGCGGGTAAATGATGAAATAAAAATCCATTCTTACAGATGCCAGCGCCAAGGATTTGCTTTTATTACCAACATTTGAACTGGACAATGGAATCAAGTTGTTCTCCACAGATGCTGTAGCAAAATATCTCTTCCCTGATGAAGGATTACAGAGGGATGAGGTAAGTCCAAATTATATCGATATTTAAATGAAACGTAGTTATTTGCTGTGCTAGTTGACCTTCTCAAGGTTATATTAATTGAGTTCTAACGTTAATTACAGTGGCTGGAGTGGTCTACTACATTGTTGGCGCCTGCTTTGGTTCACAAAATGGGTGTTGGTCATCGTGCTAATCCAAATGCCTCGCCCGTCCTCAATGCTCTAGTTAAGAAACTGGAAGATTGTTTATCGAAAACGCCATTCCTAACTGGAGACAAATTGTCAGCTGCCGATATTTCTGTGTGGTCCCTATTGGCCCCTGATGGTACACTTAAAGGTGCTCAGCATATTGACAATATTCTGGTGTGGTATCGTAAAATCACAGCCATGCCAGAAGTAAAGGCTGTCCTTGAAAGCGAACCATTGAAGGATTTGACTTTCAATGCTTTGCAGAATTCCAATCGTTTTGGCGGTCTTTATCATGTTCCTCTGAAAGTACCTGCTTCATCTGCTGATGCCGGTAAACTATTGGCTGATGCTGGTTCTAATTTGGCTGATACACTAACAGAGGAAGAAATAATGATGGCACGCAATAACTTTGTTTATAACAAACCCGTTGAACGTCAAGAGGCACGTACAGTTCTTCCCAAAGCTGGCGAACGTAATGTGCTGATCACATCTGCTCTGCCATATGTCAATAATGTCCCACATTTGGGCAATATAATTGGTTGTGTATTGTCTGCAGATATATTTGCAAGGTATGGTATGAACGGGAAATACATTGTGATATGTGTTTTAAGGTTTTATGTATAAAGTTAATCGCTTGAATTTCTTTCTAGATATTCACGTTTAGCTGGCTACAATACACTTCTGATTTGTGGCACAGATGAGTATGGTACAGCAACCGAAAATAAGGCTCTCGCCGAAGGCCTAACACCACGAGAAATTTGTGATAAATATTTCGAATTGCATAACGGCATTTATCGTTGGTTTGGTATTGGCTTCGATTACTTTGGTCGTACAACTACTCAGGAACAGACAGAGTAAGATGAATGGCGTTCGGTTTTAAAATCTAGATATAAAACATTATTATACGAATATTTTCAGAATTGTCCAAGAGGCCTTTAAAGATGTATATAACAACGGTTATATTCTGACTGAAAGTGTTGAACAATTGTTGTGTCAAAAATGTGATCGGTTTTTGGCAGATCGGTATGATAAAATCGCACACATTTTCAAGTATAAATTTTGTAATAGATTTTAATTTGACATTTAGATTTGTTGAAGGCACATGTCCCCATCCAGGCTGCGGTTATGAAGATGCTCGTGGTGATCAATGTGATAAATGTGGCAAATTAGTTAATGCCACTGAGCTGATAAGACCCCGTTGTAAAGTTTGTAATACTGCTCCTGTAATACGTTCTTCCGATCAACTGTTCCTTGATTTACCTAAAATTGAACCGAAATTACGTGAATGGATTGAAAAATCAGAACCGGGATGGACGAATAATGCTCGTGTTATTACAAGATCATGGTTGCGTGAGGGTTTGAAGCCACGCTGTATTACTCGTGATTTGAAATGGGGGATTCCAGTGCCACACAAAGGTTTCGAGAATAAAGTATTTTATGTGTGGTTCGATGCACCATTCGGTTATGTTTCGATGACTAAACGATACACGAAGGAGTTCAAGCAATGGTGGCAGCCAGCAAAGGGTGTAGATGTCGAACTTTTCCAATTTATGGCCAAGGATAATGTGCCATTCCATTCAGTGGTCTGGCCTAGTGCTTTATTGGCTATTAACAAGGGCAATACGATGGTATCGCATATAATGGCAACCGAATATTTGAATTACGAGGATGGTAAATTCAGCAAGAGTCGTGGAATTGGAGTCTTCGGTAATGACGCTCAGGTATGTAGACATCAATGGAATCATTTTTTTCCAATATTTATTTAAATATGTTACAGTAGCTAATGGTCATCCAATAGATAATGGTGCCATGTTACATGTATCTGAAAGTAAATATTTTAGATAAGATAATGAAATAATTATCTTTTCTTAAGATTTCTTCATTAAAGTTTTGAAACGAAATTTATTTTTTAATTCATATGAAAATATTGGAAATAAAACATATTACACAACACATACACCTCATAAGTTTACTTCAAGGATGGTTTACTTGAAAAAGTACAAAAACGATTTAAAAGTCCGACATTGTTATAATGAAATATTCTTGTCTAAATACGACACTTTACTAACAAATAAATTATTTTCAGGATACTGGCATACCTGCTGATGTATGGCGTTTCTATTTGGCTTCTGCTCGTCCTGAAGGTCAAGATTCAAGCTTTAGTTGGAACGATTTGGCTGCTCGTAACAACTCAGAACTCCTCAACAACTTGGGCAACTTTGTTAACCGAGCTCTAGTCTTCTGTGAAAAGAACTTCAATGGCATCGTGCCCACTATGAATCTCACCAATGACGAAGAAGTCCTATTGGCGCTTATTAATCGTGAATTACGCGGTTACATTAATTCCCTGGAGAAAGCCCGATTGCGTGATGGTATTCGTCATTTGCTATCGATATCACGACATGGTAATGGTTACTTGCAAGCTCAACAACCTTGGGTATTGCTAAAGGGAACCGAAGAACAAAAGGCGAGAGCTGCAACAATTATTGGTATTTGCATAAACATTGCATGCTGGTTGGCCAATTTGATATTCCCCTATATGCCTTCCACTGCTCGCACTATGTTCGAACAGTTAAATACAAAACAATCGTTACTTAATGCCGAGTAAGTTATTGTGTATTTATTTGTTTTTAATTTCCTATAATCAATTATTAAAATGTTTCTTTTCGTCAAAGGAAACCATTCGCTTCGATTTTGTTGCAACCTGGTCACAAGATTGGCAAACCAGCTCCCCTTTTTGCCAAATTAGAGCAAGCTTTTATTGATGAAATGAAAAAGAAATATGCCGGACCTCAAGTTATTGCCTCGTCAGATGCTGGACAATCTGTTGCTGACTTGGAAAAAGCTGTCCAAGAGCAAGGTGATAAACTGAGACAATTGAAAACAACAACAAAAGACAAGGCAGTTTTGCAACCAGAGATCGACAAACTTCTTGAATTGAAGAAAAAATTAACTGAAGCTCAAAGCAAACAAGCTTCCTCGACGGCCGGTGATAGCAAACAGAATGGTGGTTCATCAGTTAAAGATTTAGAAGCTGCAGTTCAGGCACAAGGTGAAAAGGTGCGACAACTTAAGGCTCAAACAAAAGACAAGGCAGTGTGGCAGCCAGAAGTGAACATTCTCTTAGATTTGAAGAAACAATTGGCTGCAGCACAATCTAGTGCTTCAGCACCCGCACCCTCGTCGCCTGCACCTGCTGCTGCAGTTGACGCTACTCAGGTTGCAGAACTTGAGGATAAAATCGCCAAACAGGTAAACGTTCTATGATTAGTTAAATTGATATATAATTTTAATCGTTTGTATATTTTTTAGGGCGAGAAAGTGCGCACCCTGAAGGCTACAGGTGATGCAGCGGTATGGAAACCCGAAGTGGAAATTCTATTGTCCCTGAAGAAACAATTGTCTGCTTTGACCGGCGTTCCCGATGCTAGTGCTCAAGGCAAAAATAAGAAAAAGAAGTAAACGCATTTCATATGAAGTCTGTCTACAGATTTTGTATGTTTTTTTACATAAAGTATATGGTGTTCTTTCGTTCGTATTCACAATATCATGTCATAAATATTATTGTATGAGACAAACACTTTATGAAGACTTAATTTTTTGCATATAATTCTTTACATTACATTTGTATTCGTTTTTACAAATATTTAGTAATTTATTTATGTTTTTTTTGTCAATGAAATTCATTAAATTATAAAACGATCTTCACTTTTATACATCATGATGATATTAGTAATTCTTTTTATTTATTTAAAATCTTTAAAATTTTTGAACTGCTCAATAAACAAAAATATACTAAATATTTATTTATACCCTTCACCACACTGTGGTACAGGGTATTATGTCTTTGTGCATATGTTTGTAACAGGCAAAAATAATCGAGATAGACCCATGGTTCCTTTTGAGAATATGCATAGAATCACTTTCTGTATCGATTTATGCATGTCCGTCTGTCCGCCCATGTATTTTTGTGAACAAAGTACAGGTCGCATTTATGAACCGATTTGGATGAAATTTGGCACAGCTCATTTGTTTGGCCCAAGGACGAAGCCTATTGAAATTGGGAAAAATCGGTTCAGATTTAGATATAGCTCCCATATATATTTTCGTCCGATTTAATGTAAATGGGGTACCAAAGTCCCTATATATCTTTCGATTTAGACGAAATTTGATATACCCTACTGAATTAGGTCTAGACTGATGTGTGCTAAGTTTCGTGAAAATCGGTTCAGATTTAGATATAGCTCCCATATATAGTTTCGCCCGATTTTAGGTAAATGGTGCACCAAAGTCCCTGAAAATCATTTGATTTGCACGAATTTTGGCATAGCGTATTAATTGAGTCTAGAATGACGTGTGCTAAGTTTCGAGAAAATCGGTTCATAGCTCTCATACATAGTTTTGCCCGATTTAATGTAAATGGTGTACCAAAGCCCCTATATATCTTTCGATTTGCACGAAATTTTGCATAGCGTACTGAATAAAGTCTAGAATGATGTGTGTTAAGTTTCCTGAAAATCGGTCCAGATTTAGATATAGCTCCCATATATATTTCCATTTCATTTAGATATAGCTCCCATATATATTTGTTGAGATCCGACGTTATGAAGATGAAACTATTGATGGATGGAAAGAAGACAATTACTGAAGTGGGTAGTACAAAGAAACCATACCTTACATTTTGAGTCCTTTGGTCATAATTGAGAATTAAAATTCCTCTGTTTCTCAAAACTCACATTAAAAACAATTTATTTCAATATTTGCTCATAGTATGCTTTATTCGGAAACAATGTTCTGAAAATTTAGTTATTTAGTCTACAGTGGAGAAATTAATAGTTCAAGGATCACGTCGCCCAAAGGTTTTACCGATGCGAAAATCTGGGTGGAAATCGGTTCCCACCAGGACGTTCATTTTCAAATCGGTTTCCCAATCCAAATGGCCTTGGTCGTAAATCTTGTACAGGTCCGCTTTCCAATCTTCCAAATAATCCTTGCAATCCCTGTCCGGGTCTCGGCCCAGGTTCTCTATGATCGCGTCTAAAAAGACGACCATTTGGTGGACCTAATTCGGGAATTCGATGCCCTAGTGGACCATGGGGTCCATGACGTCCTGGTGGTTCATGTGGTCCATGATGTCCTGGGGGACCATGTGGTCCATGAAGTCCTGGGGGACCATGTGGTCCATGATGTCCCGGTGGTCCTGGTGGTCGTGGGTGTTTAGATGGTGGCGGTGGTGGAGGCGGTGAAGATTCTCCATCATCCTCATTTGGATCAACAGTAGTTGTTTCCGCGTCTTCGTTCTATAAATTAATATTTTTGGAAATTTAATGAATCTCTATATTTAATCGTGACATTGCTTACTTGGGCTTTTCCCACAGTCAATAGGGCTAAAACCCCAATGACTACAAGAAACTTCATTTTGATATGCTTAGAAAAATGCGTATTTCCAGTTGTATTTATATGAAATTTAAATGAATATGACAAAATTGAAATGTACATGCAAGTCGACTACGTGATACCCTCAAGATTAAATTGAGACATATAAGTATCACATACATAGATATAGATCCTTTTTAATGCAAAGCCGCTCAAATTTTATACGAACTAAAAAGAGTTTATTTTTAAGAATTGTCTGGTTATTCAGTTTTAAAATATCTCTAATGAAACTAAATTTCTTAAAAAAAAATATTAAGAAATAAAGTTATTGATTTTACAATATATATGTATGTTTTACATTATTAATATATGGTGGATCATTTACGCGTTTCAGGTGGCAGTACCAATTTGGATGGTGTTCGTAAGGTATCATATAATTCTAATATGACAGTACTGATGTTTTTTAGTTCTATCTTAATTTACGTTTTCATTTTTAAAGTCATAAGATTAATCACATTGACGAAGGTATGTAAATATCTGTAATTACGATTACAATTGTATAAATATTTATTAATTTAATTAAAAATATTATATACCGTGTTATTTCGTAATTTAGGTCATTTTGTTTAAAAATAGGATCATAAATTATTTATAGATATGTGGGAAGTTGTTTTTTTTCTCGATTGGGGTGCTTGTACCCAGGGTAAGATCTTAACAAGAACACTATTGACCCCTAAAATTAGCAACTCCCAGCATGCCTACATCAAAGGTGGTTGGACGTATCGAGAAGAATATGGAGCCTTCAACAATGTGAAGCTAGAGGCTATCAATTCTGCGCTCGTAAGCTCAGGGATCTCCTCACTTTTAACGGACTGTATTGATAGAATGACGGAAAGTATAATTATCCAGCCTTATTCTGGATATTCGCTGGGAGATATCTCGCATATAAAAAATTTTTCGCTTTCACATTCTCGCCTTATTCTGAATGAATAGGGAGACGCAAAAAATGCGAGATGCAGATTCGAGTTTTCGAAAATGGTGGTTGAAAAAAAGATTCGTGTTGCCATATCGTAAATTAAGTTGCGCTGTGTGTGGCCATATTGTAATTTAAGTTGCAATGTGTGTTGCCCCATTGTAATTTAATTGTGTAATATTTTTCAATATATTATTTATTGATTTTTGTTATTAAAAATTGTTGCTTTTTATTGTTATTTAAACTTTATAGCAATACAAATGTGAAATATCAAGAATCCGCTGTATAAATGCTTTGTAATTAAAAGAAAATAAATTAAAGTTTGAAAATATGGCAACCTACAATATGGCATGTGAAACAGCTGTTCATTGTTTTGATGCAATTTGTTGCAACAACTACAATAGATTACAAATAAAAGAACATTTTTTTATGATGGCAAAAACACAACGAATAATAGGAAGAAATTTGCGATTTAATTAATTAATTCACAGTTTATTATTTCACTACATAATTGTGTGTCTTTTTATTTAATTTTGATATTTTATCTCCCCAAATTCTTAAAGTGGTCAGTTATGTTATGATTTGCTCCTACTCCTTTATTTCTTCCTTCAAATCATGCACACGATAATTTTGAAAAAAAAAAAATATTTTTTGTTCTTTCATAATTTTTGTATCAGTTTTTCACTCTTAAGCGGCTCATCAGGCAAATTTGGTTTTTCCATAATTTTTAAAATTTTTTTCTTGAGAGACAGATCCTCACACAAATGTCTGTATTTCGCCTCCAAAATGCATCAAACTCGACTTAAATATTCCTTATTACCTTCATACATTCTTTGGCAGCATGCATCGTTATCAATGGGATTTCCAATGGCATTTTATTGACTGTTTTCCAGTTAAAAATTTGCTTACTATCATTTATAATATTCTAAATCGTCATAGAATAAGTATTGTGTAAATATTTTTCATAAAAATAGTTATTACTTATGTTTTTGTAGTCAACTCCCCTTAAATTTATTAGCGAAAAATTTCGCACAAAATTTCATCTCATCTGTAATTCAGAATACCTAATTTTTCGCCAAAGCGGATTTTTTCGCTTTCGAACTTCATTCAGAATAAGGCGAAAGCGAGAATGCGAAAAAATTCACTGAAAAATGTTGTTCAGAATAAGGCGAAGGGAAAGAGCGAGTAAATTCACATGGAATTGACATCTAGAATAAGGCTGATCAACTCATACTTAGGAGAGAGTTCCGTGGGGAAATCTGTCAACAGAGGCACACTACAGGGAGGAGTATTATCTCCTCTTCTATGGTTTCTGTTGATAAATGAGATACTGCTGAAATTCGACCATCATAAAATATGCCGATGATGTAGTCTTCCTAGTCGGTGGGAAGTTTCTGATGACCATTTCTGATATTATGGAGGGCGCCCATTCAACTCTGTCAAACTGGGAACACGCCAATGGTTTTGGTGTAAACCCCACTTAGACAGAATTGGGGCTCTTCACTAGGAAACGTAAGATTCCAATAGGAATGTTGATGGACGCTCTAAGTAAAGACTATGACAGAACGTAGTTTTGTTTTTTTCTTTTGTTGAAAATAGAAACGAAACAAAAAGAAAATATGAAAATTTCAATAAGAATGTGAAATATTTGAATACATTGTATGATTTTTGAATTTTGTTTCGCGATTTTGTTTAGTTCGCTTTAGATATGGGTTCGACGTATACGGGTAATATGGCCGTACAAAACATTTTGCCATAGTGGGGAAGTTGAATATTTTTGTACGCTTCGTTGAATTTTAGGTAACGTTGTTATACAGTCAGCCCATTTGAATTTGGTTATTTCCCTACTGTCAATATCGGTCTACTTTTTGATATGTTCGGCAATATATTCCCAAATCATTTCCACATTGTGATGTAATTATTAATTATTTTTTGAAACAATATAACATAATTAAATCTTATTGTATTTTAGAATAAAATACAGATAAACGCATCTAGTCTGCAGATGTAGTAGTATATGTAGTAGTCGATGTTGTGGGAACTTCGCCAACAATAATACCATGTCCATATATATTACTAAACGTATTTGCTCCAATATTGTGCCCATTACTGTAATCGGAGACGCT